TAATTATTTCGCGCTCAGTAATTCCGGGTACCATATATATACAATATATATCTGTATATATCTGCGGATAAATATATAGAGGAGAAACCGGGAAAAAGGGCGACACTCTACACATTAATCTCCCACTCCTTATTTGCATCTTCGTAATCTGTTTCTTGACATAGCCCCGCCCCTTTCCTGGAAACACCGCCCACACATTTTGGGCTCCGTGGATGGTTGACGTGTCGCATTGTGGGCAAAATTTGTCATTTGTTGTGCGTTTAACATGCATATTGAATGGGCGTCCTGATAGAAGAACTCCCCATAAAAATGGGGCTTGCAGAACACGTACGCCCGACTCCGGGAGCATTGTGTTAAATAATTAATTACAATCCATTAATTAATTAGACAACGCAGCGGGGGTCATTAGGCTAAGCAGTGCCGCAAAAAGGGGCCAAAGGACCAGGGACAAAGGACACTAGGAGAGCCTCAGGAAAAAAAGAAAAAAAACGCAAAAAAACTGATGGAAAAAAAGAACATTTGATACGACAGCTTGTACACATAATGCGGCCATAATCAACAGCCCCATTTGTGCCTTTTTTCTGCCCTTTTTTTACTTTTAATATTCTATCAAGGGTGGGCAGTACTCATATTTTATTGCCTACTGCTAGGCGTGAAATTATCCCCCACATAGTTTCATAATTAATGGCATACGGTGCAAGTGAAAGTCGGGGTCACTTTCGCTTTTCTTCCTAAGCCATGATTTATATGCTCGGTATGTTTGCCAAATGAATTTACCCCTTGACATTTGGAATTTGGCCAAATATAGCTGGTATTACAGCAATCATAGGTGTAAATTGAAGTAGAGATATGGTGACATATTTAAGATATATCTTAAAAATTTGTTAATACCATAATAAAGGCATAACCTTAGCTTTTAAAGCATAGTTTCCAAGTGACTGCCGATTTACGAGTTTGATATGCATACGAGTATATCCTTAGCCAAGCAAGCACATGAAATATGAAGCAGATTTCGTGCATGAGTTGAGCGACTTCAAAGCAACCATGAAAAGCGAAAAACTAGCTTAAATTTGGCCAACACAACAATCGTATGCAATCATATTCGCATGCACATTGCTTGCCGACTGCCATCTAATTTCATTCCCATCGAATTGAATATTTATTAGGTTGACGGAAATACGTAACGTCCTTTGTTCATTATGAATTCATGCGATGCATTTGCACGTGGACATTTCCTTCGATTGCCACCCGCTTTCCCGGCATTTCCTCCGATGACAGTTTTGTATTTTTGGGCCACACATTTTGCACTCCACGCAGCATCGCTCGACTGTCAGATGGCATCGATTATGCATCAAAGTATAATTCAAACTGTCGTTTCGCCTAATGTTCGCCATGGAAATCAATTGCCAATTGGCTGGCTGAATACTGAACACCGCCGCCGATGGGAAACTTGCCGTTCGAAGGCTGCAGCCAAGTAAAAACAATTGAATTATGGGCCCAGGCCCGAAGAATGTGCGTCACTTGACCAAACCAAGCTGCCAGTGGCGGTTTTTTGTGGGCAGAAGTGGGTGGCAATGGAGCGTCAGTCTGATAAATGGCCATCATGAGGTGGTCCCCAACGAAATTGAGTGCAGCTGCCACATGGCGTATGCGCAATGTGAGTACAAGAAGGACCAAAGGACGAACAGCGCCACCCACTGCAACAATTGCAATATTTGGCAGCAAATTTTATTGCCCGACCCGGCCCGGCACAAAATATCGAGTTCATTTATCAAGTAGTCCTCTGTCCAATCCTCTGTGCAGGCGGCGTGTGTCCTGCCAGCAAATTGGCAAACGAAACTGTTGGCTTCACGAAAACGAGAGTAGCAAAAAAGGCAAAAACACCAGACTGCAATTTGCTTTGCACTTGCCACAATTACTTTGATTGCTAATCAATTGCAAATTGGCCAGAACTAGCAATATGCATTACCCGTACTCTACTCCTTGTCTGATTGCCACATTGCCATCCATCATTGATTTTACTATTGCAAGCGTGGGATGTATAATTGACAGTTTATATATATTTGCATCTGCGACACTCTGTCGCACTGCCGGAAAATGCGATAGGAAATACAAGTATGTGAGGACAGTGACATCTCCAAATTCATGCTTGCATATTCCGATGCATCAAAGTTGCATTGAAAGACACTCCTTTTCCGGCACGAAGGATTTGGCCATAAGTCCCTGGCAGAACTCATCGATCAACCTGTCACCTGCCCTGGAGAATGCCGAATGGGGGCGCAGAGTGTGACGGATATCGAAAAATTTTAATTTAATTTCACATCCTGCTCAAACAGAAAGCGAGTGCTTTATTCCGTTCCTGCAAGTGGGAAATGCTTCTAGCCAGCAGGAGGTTTTCATAAAGACACGCTTACATATAAAATGCTAGCCATATATGTAATTTTTCAATTTATCGATCAGCTATCAATTATCAATATCGATATTTGTTATCGCAACATCTTTTCTGATCATACAAATAATTGTCTCATATATTGCGAACGTGTTGTGTCGAACTTAGTCTTATCACATATGCATTTTGTTATCGCTATTTTTATTACCCCATTGTCTTTTTACTTATTAGCTGAAAGCTCGCTATTTGCTGCCGAGCAGCAGCCCAATTAGCCGATTAAATTAGCAGTCAAGTCTCCCACTACTCTCACTCACAATCCGTCATGTTTTTGGTTTATTTTGTACTGCTCACTGCTCATTGCTCATTGCTCATCCTCTTCAGCAGCAACTTTCCCCAGCTGAATTTTCCACGCGAATCACCGCTCATCGTGTGTAATTATCATCCGCAGACGGAGTTTCACTATCCATCTATCTCCCTGACCCCAGCCTCATTGTAAATCAATCTGTCAGTTAATAACGAAGCAACCTTTCATTACTCCTTCGCAGATGCTCCCCCCCCCACCAACCCTTCAGCGCGCCACTTTCTTCCACTTTCTCCTTTTCTGGGGGCGGGCAATAAGCGTGTGCAAATAGAAAGGCGGACAAACAAAAAGGGCACTGCGAAATAATGTGACTGCCAGTTATGATTAATTTATAAATAGTTTCAATGCAAAACCAAAAATAAAAGTAATTCGACAAGTTAAAGGATTATGCCTTATATTTGTAATATTTATTGTGGTACTATTTAGTACTATTTTTGCTGCCCTTTTTTCTGGCAGTGTCCTTGCTCTATACACACAGCATATCAGAAACGCGACGGCGGCTTAATTAAAAATTGTAAGTGGCAGTAAATTAATTATAACCGTTGCCCGCAAAGTGTTTGGCTTGCAGCACATGTGGGCGGCCGTCAGTGGGGGCGTGGCACATCCACTACTTTTGTGCCCCGCCGTGTCTATGCGATTGTGTGTGTGTGTGTGTGTGCGAGAGGTAGTATCTGTGTGTGAGTGGGGGCTGCACTTCAAAGGGAACCGTTTTAATCAAATTTCGAAAAGTGGCACCGCTTGTGATGTGGGTGAAAACGAATAGAGGTAAACCTCCGGCTCGGGAACGGGAGAAAGGGGGAGGAAAACTGTCGGAAAAGTCATCTCTCATTACAACGAGATCTTTGCAAATTCTGGCCCTCATGCCTCCCCATGCCCCCCCCCCATGCCCCCCCATCTGCCCCTTAACTGGAAAAGTCGCCCGAAAGTAGGCAGGAAGTTGAGGTCGCTTGTCCCAAAAAGCGATCTATGTGTATAAGCCATGGCTCACGGACTTGGACTGGCCTAGGAATTGGAAATAGGACAAATGAAAGGGGCCGGCCAGGAATGTCCTTTGATGGGGACTTTCCTTTGTCGTCCGATGGGAAGGAAGCAATTCGGAAATCACTCTGAAACGACATGCCAAATTCCCAATAAATTCAAATTGTGCGTTGGCGAAGCTTAAAAGTTTAAAGAGGATTTCACGTGCACAAGCATGAGATTTTAAATAATATTAAGGTAATTGTAAATTGTGTGCTCCAAATGGGCACACGTTTTTCCGACTCATTAATATGTATACTTGCTACAATTTCGATACGACCACTATCCGAGTTTGGCCTCCATTTTCCCACGAAAAAAAATGCATAAAAAAGCATGAAAAAGGACTGCTGGCCAACTTCATTAGGAGCCGAAAACATGATGGCTAGTTCATTTCCCTCGCAAGGGTGGCCCGCAATCATAAAATGTTTTGATTCATTTGCAAGCTAAATTGAGGCGAAGCATTTCAACTTTTCCTGGTTCGCACCTGGCCCGAGGCCGAGGGGGAGGGGGAGGGGGAGGGGGCGTGGCAGCTTCCGCCGGTGAAGGCGAACTATCTGGCAGAGGTCCACAGGTCGGTCGATGCTTCATTTTCAGCCATTGAAGCGTGCCACCGATTGAAAATTTAATTTCCCGCCTATGGCGTTGAAATGAAAACAAAAAACCAGGATGAAAAATATAAAAAAAAAAATGAGAGAGTGCCCAACCTCAGATTGAGGAAAAGAGGGAGAAAAGGAAGCTGTGCCACACCGGTTTAGACCAGGCCAATGTATTTCCGTTCATATTCGAGTCCGGCAAGTGGATTTTGATTTGGATTTGGATTTGGATGCTGCCTGGTGGCTGGTGGCTCTCGGCCGCTTTATTTGCAATAATCCAAATTGCCATGGCTCGAATCGTTAGACTGTATTTCCTGTTTCGACTGCCTGATTTATTTATTGGACCAGGTTTCCATTTGACTTCAGGTCGGTCGGCGGGCAAAAAAAAGAGCTAGTGGGGCTGGCCAAGAACAATAAAAAGACACCACTTTTATGCTGCATAGATTGAAGATGTTTAAATAATCCTTCGAAGGATTATTGTCGAACAGCGTCACCTTTTGAATTGATTTCCAAAGCCTGAAAACTTGCCAACATTTTCAGCTGGCATTTTCTATCAAATCCATACCATCTAAGCCATTTACGTTTAAGATCGTTCAGAAAATGAAACTTCCTGCTCATACCAGTAATCCTCCAATCGTAGGTCTCTCCAAGCGACCGCTGGGCCCGCCGCATCGTAAAAGCAGTCTACCAAAGCATCAGGAGGTGAAGCGCCGCTTCCTGGAAATTTGTGATACGACCTTCTCGGAGGAGGTGAGGGCCGCCCTCCGCCTGCCGGCCTTCGACTCCTACGAGTGGGGCGATGCCGACGTCATCCACCTCATGCAGACCATGTTCGTCGAGCTGGGGTTCATCGAGAAGTTCAGCATTCCGGTGGACACGTTGCGCGAGTGGCTCTATGAGGTATACAAGCACTACAACGAGGTGCCCTTCCACAACTTTCGGCACTGCTTCTGCGTTGCCCAAATGGTGAGCTAAACATATACTCTATAATATGCTTACAATTGATATTGCATGATTGAGCAGTTTCTCTAAGTTTAGTTTCCCCTGCCTATTAGTAACCATATATTTTGTGTATTCATCAATCTGCAGAGCCTGTAGATTTGTATATATAGAATTTTCTTCTTCGAAGTGACATCGGATATGCGCTGTAGTTCTCGCCTAATGGCCTTTCCTTGGGCAGCACAAGTTGTGATCTAATGCCCAATATATCCCAGCCCCACCACCGCCAGCCGATTCGTGTCGCAAATTATTAATAAAATACTTGAGCGTAGCTGGTACAGAAGTAATAGATGCAGATACTTTCCACGCCGAATAAGAATGAATGCATGTAAAGTGTGTATAGATGTCTGCCTGCAATCGATATAATGTGGGAATTTTTATAAGGCGCACATAAGTATTTCTATATCTGAATCTCCGACGGTCTGTGTGTCTGTGTGTCTGTGTGCGTGTTGCTTTGTCGTTGTGTGGGTGCTGACAATGAGCGGCGCCCAGTTGTATGCAATGCTAAAATAAACCTAAGCGCCAAAGGGCAATCCACCCAAAACGCTCTCACACACACACACACACACACAATGTATGTGTGCGAATGCCTATGAGTGCGAAATGTGGCTTGGAGCAGGACCTATTTTTAGCTGCCAAGATATGCAAGATACGAAGAATTTGTTTCTCTTTTAAATGGAAAACCCATGTGGCAAAGTGCGAGAAGGCGAGCGGAAAAGGAAAGAGCGAGTGACTGGTCACTCACCCAGCATTGTCCAAAAAAAAGTATATATATATACCCCCAAAAACCGCCCATTTCCACCCCCGCAAAAAGCACAAAAAAAGAAACCCCCCAACTGAGCACTTAGAACGGCGACCCACTTGGCTGCTCAAGTGCCAGCGGAACATATTTTTTAGTAACCTACATTTTTGGCAAATGAAAGTTGCCGGGTGCTGTTGCATCTTCTGCAGCGAGCTCCTTTCATTTTACTTTCCCTGAAACATACACCCATTATGCATTTCACTTGAGCATAACCCACAAGGTGCAAAACTGGACCGTAATCTCCAGCACAGTAGTTTCAATGCCCTCCTTCTCCAATTTTAATTACGTTTTTAAGCTGCAAGTGGAGAATATCCCAGAATATCATCTGAAAATGCAACTATATTCCTTCTTTGAGGTCTCATTTCACTTCTTGTGTAATGTAAATAGCAGCTAACATGAATTACAATGAGTTGTCACTTCAAGCTTCTTTCAAACGCTGCACTTAGTCGATCTTCACTGTAGCAGTAACTTTTGAGGGAACTAAGACAAAGACACATACCTGTATAGCACACACACACAAACAGACAAACGAACAAACAAAAAAAAACAAGAAGAGCGAAGCGAAAACTTTAATAAATTATTTTTGCAGGCAACAAAGGCTAACAGGTAAAGGGCGGGTAAAAAGGGCTGGGGCGGGGGTGGGCGTGGCAACAACGGCAGACTGCAAGTTGCAGTCAACAATATGGGAGCAACTGCGGCGGGGGTGAAAGAGGACAAAAGGACGACAGAAAGTCAGATAGTCGAGGCATCAAGTATACGCACGGTTGCCCCATTGCAAAATTGCTGCCACAAGCGCAACTATGACAATCGCATTATTATTTCTCTGCCGTTGTTGCTGTTAAATATGTTTGCCATAAACCGCATTATGTGCCAAACAAAAACAAAAACAAAAGCACAAAAATAGGAGAAAAACCATGGCCACGCAAACACAAACATGGGGGCAGCGCCCATTGTCATCGTCCTCGTCATCGGTGGCCAACTCATTGCCGTTTGCCTGCGCCCCACCTGTGTGCACTATTTTTATGATTGTCCTGCCGCGCAACGGTATTGCACTGGCCGAAGGACACTTGCCAGGAAATAGCCGCAGCCACTTTAGGCCACGAAAAACGAACTTCAACTTCAACTTTAACTGCACACGGCTTCTGCCCGAATTATCCTGCCATGAGTACTCCCATTTTTGTTTTTCTTTCATTTTCGATTTTTATATACGTTCGTTTTTTATGTTCACATATTTAACATGCTTATAAACCCCTTTTGTGACGAAATCGGCTTTATTTATTTTGTAATAAAGCCCGCAGTGGTCATCAAATCCTATTAAAATCATACAACTTTATTGGTTTTAAAAAATAGAGTTTTTTGGTATGCGGCTTAACATCGAAGAGCTGCGACTAATAATTGTAAATGTGTGTGGGAAGGCACATGGCATTGGCCATTTTCAGCTTTGGCAAAAATTCCGTTTTAAATATGGCATATGAGCATCGAACTCGAACTCCGGTCGGCATTTTGCCCCTTCTGGTGCCAAAACCCCATCCCTTTTTATAGTTTTACAGCGTTCCATATGCGCTGTTGCGTATTTTACAATTCAATGGGGACGCCCATTTGCATAGGCGCGTTTTGGCCATCAGCACAGCTGCGGTTGCAAAAATAGCACTGCTCAGACCTACGTTAGCGAATATAGCAATATATTTTGTGGCATTTGTGTTGATGCAACTTCAACCCAAACTAAAGTTAATGAACTAACTTTTGCAGAAAAAAACTTCTAAAAGGTGTCAAATTTAATCTTCTTGTTATTGATATTAAATACCGGAATCGAGATTTTCATTTTATAGTTTTCACTAAAATCGAATGTCATACATTCGCTTGCTTTCCGGCTGATTGTTGGTTTTTGAACTGCTAGCATATTGGCACTGGCCGCAGCTGTGGGTGTGTGTGACTTGGCAAGTGTGTGTGTGTGTGTGTGTGTGCGTGCAAGGACCTAAAAGCCGTTTGCAGGACATGACAGTCAAGCCGTTAAGCGGCTTTCGCCCAACTACAAACAGTCGAGCAAAAACTGAGCATTATGGCAGCGGCATGAGCGTAAATTTAAATTATTGAACCGAAGCCGCCGAAAACCAACTCTTTTTTTTCTTTCTTCTGTTTGTTGTTTTTCTTTCATTTTTTTCTTATTTTTATCTTTATTTTTATTTGCGCTTCCCCTATTTGCCCGCCGAGAATTTGCCGCTGCTGCACCGCAAAAAGAGGGGGCGTGACCGAACACTTTGACTAATTTCCATTGGCTGCACTTTTCATCTGACGCAGCAGTTGATTTCCTTGGTGTATTTTTGTCCGCTGAAAAGTTTGCCAACAAGCAGAAAATGCACCACCCTTGGGAGTGGGTGGTTTGAGTGGGTTGTTAGTTGTCTGCGTCTGTTTGTTGACAATGAATTTAGATAAACTTGCGAAATTCGAAGCGCAAACAGCATTTGCATTTGCATAAATTTATAGCGTCTTGCCGCCCAGAGAGATTTGGTTCTCACACCATATCCCTCCATACATATAGACTATATGTATTTATATATACCTATATACATCTATATATATCGCATAGCCCTCGCTCTTTCTCAATTTCGATCCCCGGCCTCTTTCACTAGCACTTAATGCCAAAGTAAACGCAATGGCGGCGAAAGTTGTGCAACAACTTTTACGACCAGAGACCCCAAAGTCTCACCTCTTAGGCCACCCAACCCCAACCCCCCTTGCAACCCCTCGCAACCCCTTGCAACTTTAGTGCAAAGAGCTGAGTAAAGTTTGCGCTGCTTTCGCATTTCGGAGAGCTTCAATTGAACGCTGTTGAAATTCCTTGAGGGTCTCCTTCTCCGTCGCCCAGTCATCTTCATTTGCGCCAGCGGGGACGAAGAGCTCTAGAGTGCAGGGGTAGCACTAGTAGTTACCCTATAAATCAAAACGAAAGCATTACATATTACCTGTATGTACACCGAAGTCCAAAAATCGGTCGTATTATGGTTGGTATTTTAAAATACCAAGATAGATAGATAGATAGATAGATGCAAGACGACCTTGCGCATTACAAGCAAACAGGGTATGATTGGGGTAGGTCCTTCCACTGGTAATTGCAAGGGTTTCGCAGCAGACAAATTAAGTTGGCACAAGACAGGGGAAAGAGTTCGAGAAGCGACAGGAGCAAGCGATAAAGGTTATAGACAGTGGATCGGATTAAACAGGTGGAAAAATGCTTTAAGCCGCCGTACAACCCGTCCAACCTCGCACGAACAAGTTTAAATGTTAAATTGCCAACACTAATTGGCCGCATCAAGATAAATGGTTAGATCGATGATGCTCGAGGGCAGATGATGCGGTGCATCCTTCCAAAGGGATAGAACACTGGTTCTTGCTCACCAGTCCGAAGGGGAAGGCGGAAAGCTGTATAATTAGCCAGGCAGGGCAATAATGAAGCTATTAAGTATAGAAACTTTAGTGGCCACAAAAAGTTGGGGTTGTAAAACAATTAAATTGCATGTAAAAGTGTGTGCAAAAATAAAAGATGCTTTAGTAATTGGCAAGGAATATGCAAAACAATATCTTTACATCATTGAGGGCTTTAAAATCCAACCAAAGGCTAGCCTTGAAACTTATGCCACTATTAGTTGTTGCTATATATGTATGCGATTACTTAACTAACTTAACTAATATCTTTACATCATTGAGGGCTTTAAAATCCAACCAAAGTCTAGCCTTGAAGCTTATGCCACTATTAGTGCTATATATGTTTACTATTGCCCTTAAATTAAAATCTCTCCATTATGCCTTTCAGATGTATGCCATAACGCGCCAGGCGAATCTGCTGAGTCGCCTGGGCGACCTAGAGTGTCTGATCCTGTTGGTGTCCTGCATTTGCCACGACCTCGACCATCCCGGCTACAACAACATCTACCAGATCAATGCCCGCACCGAGCTGGCTCTCAGGTGGGTAAATCCGTTGCGAGTCAGCAAATATATATCAAATATATATGTACATCACTTGCAGATACAATGACATCTCACCGCTGGAGAACCACCACTGTTCGATAGCGTTCCGCCTGCTGGAGCACCCCGAATGCAATATATTCAAGAACTTTAGCCGCGACACCTTCAAGTGAGTTTCAGCTCGATTTAAGGTCCTATTTGCCGGGGATTCGGTCGGTGGCTGTGGGTCAATTAATTGCCGAGTATCCACTTTATGCGCGGCACGTACCGAATGACATTGCATTAAACGTTCGCCCCATTGCCGTGGTAATTAACAGCTTCCAGCTAGCAGCTACCAGCTAGCAGCTACCAGCTGCATCCAACACCCCATTGGCCACCGCCCATCTCCAATTGCCCATCAGCCAACGCCACCCCACTTGACCTCCATCGCCCACCCATTGTCCTGACCCAACCTGAAATCCATGCCAAGGCACGACTGCGAAATCCATTGATTTAATATTTAAAGAGCGAAAAACTGAGCAGTTCTGGGCAGCAAGCAAAGATGCTGAACGAATGATACCCCTTCTTATTGCACTATGAAGTAAAACAAAGTAGATGCAATTTTGTTAGCCTAAGTGCAGAGCGCAATTTTAATTACTTTTTGTAATTATAGTTATTGAATTATACATCTTTTGAACTCTGAAAAACCGATATACCCCATTGAAGTGCATGGGTATTGGGTATAAAAATAAGTATCGCGAAAAGTAAAAAAGTTGCAACAGAAGAATATCGGTAGTTTTCTACCGAATGTCCGTGCTGCTATTGTTGTTTTTCATTGGTGTGCGCTGGTTTTTCCTGGGCTGCCCACGGTTTTCCACGGTTTTCCACGGTTTTCTGCTTACAATATGCAGCTGGACTGGAATGGAATGAAGATTAAGCTGTAATTGGCCCGTACACGACATAATCCCAGTGTTCAGCTCGCTTATAACTTCACTTAATTCGAGAGAAAGCGCCAATCGAGGGCAATTGAAATCCATCGGACGCACAATTGCCATCGATTTATCAAGTAATTAAAATAAATCTCTGATGGTTTCGTTTGCTTAAATTGTCAGTTGAAATTTATGGTGTGCAAGACTTTAAATTGAATATGAAATGTAAACAAAATGTATGTTAACAAAAGAAACAGTTTCTAAAATGAAAGACTTTCCTCTAACCGTATTAGTGCCAAGTGGAAACACTGTTAACGTGTTTTCCAATCACCCCTTTTCAAATACAACTTAACCAGTTTCGATTAACTAATGAAAATGGCGCGGGTAGCGCACAGTTTGCTTTCCGCAGATTATACGTTTATATAATAAAGCTATTTGATGGCTTAGCGCAGCATTTTCCGCGCTTAACTGACCCCCGCAACTGGCTTTTCGCATTCTAAACTCACCTCCCATCGCTTCTCCGCCCCCATTTTCCTCCCCAACCCACGGATTTTCCTGCAATTTCATTTATACTGCGTAATTCTTTTCGTTTTTTTTTGCCGCGTCCATAGCATGCATTTTATATTGGAAAATATTCCACAAACACTAATTAAGTGGATTAGCCGGCGAAATGCTGTTCCTCGACTTTGACTTGCATGGAAAGTGTGGAAAGCCGCGAGGAATGTGGATAGCAGTGGGTATTGCGAAATGAAAAACGGTTGGCTGGGGCATCAACTTCATCATCATACCAATGACAAGAATCATCATGAACAAGAAACGCAATCAAGGCAAAGCCGCGCCCTTGACAACATAACCTCCCCACTCCCACACACATTATCCACCCACTTTCCCCCATTTTCCCCCATTTTCCTTGGCAAGTTTGTGTGCATAAACTATTGGATACTTTTGGGAGTTTTTGATGGCAAAACTTGTTGGCAAATGCACACAATATGCCAGCCGTCGTCAGACGAGTGGGTGGTTAAAGCGGGCGGAAAATGCGTGGGTGGAAATTGGGTGGAAAAGTGGGCGAAAAGCGGTTGGGGAATACGCAGACAGTTGTCGTTGCGATTAGTAAGCATGATTATTGCCAGAGCATTGGTTGGCATGTGCATTAATTTAGGTATTGTTCCCCGGAATATCCGACAAAATAAGCAAATATTATTATTTCATTTGACTCAGTAATAACAAGCCAGACTGATGAGAATTATCTCGAATTCGAACTCTGCAATCCGAGTAGCAAGTATCTTATGTTGCGAAATTGCCATTTAACAAGGGAAATATAATATTAGTTAGTTAAGCGCACACATGCATAATTTAATCTGGTGAAAGAAATTTGAGTATCGCATTTGCCTGAAGCTGCTGTTTAAAGCTAAATAGTGAGAACCAGATTACGAATAAGTCATTAAACTTGCGATTTGGTATATATGATTTCAAATTTAAGGTAACTGCATGTATAACTGCCTAATTGCAAAAATCTAATTAAACAGCAGAGGTTAATTGTATTTACATTCATAAACCGATTTTATTGCAAAGCAATAATGGCAAATATTTGACCACCTGCCAAATGCTTTGTACTTTGATTTATTTGTTTTCCCATTTTGTTGCATATTGTGGGGCTTATTCTTTATTGATATGCCAATGTGTATGTATGAGTTTCCAGGTGTTGAAGGTTGGCATTGTGCACAAAAAAAAACTCTGCTTCGCGTGGTTGCATTTTATTGATTGTTGATTGTGGCCAAACTCCAATTTTACTACACTTGTTTGCAAATGTAAAATGGCTGCTAAAAAGTCGATGCTGGCGATTGTACAAAAAACATAAAACAAAAATACAAAAGGCCTGAAGCCAACGGAAATAATTAAGTTCACATTGAGCAGCATTATCCGTATTCTTTTGATACGAAAAAATGTTTGTAAATGGCAGACATATTTACTTGTATTTTAAAAACTCGTTTTTGCTCCTCGCACAAAATTGCATTATATTTAACTAAAAGCCATTGATTGCGACAGCCAGTCAATTGTATTTCACTACTTGCAGGCTGCAGTCTAATTTAAGCTGATTCCATTAGTTTTCAAACACCAGTTTTGAGATACACGCCTTTAGACGGTCACCAAATGCGGCACTTGTCCACGGGATTCATCTGGCTGGTGGCCGTGCACTGAAAGGTGTCCCCGAACTCCGGAATGTTTCCCAGTACATTGTTAACCCGCTCGGCGTGTGCGGCATGCAGGCTGGAGCCCGCCGCACTTGCCACCGTGCCACACCAGTTCTGGGCAAAGGCCAGGAAGAAGGTGCGCAAGTTTGGAGCTGCACTCCGGCTGCGATATGTGTCGAGGGCCAAGCGAAGTCCCTCGGAATCCGCGATGTTCTCGTTGACGGTTAGCGTGGCATTACTGTACCGGTCGCCCAAGTAGCAGCCGGCTCTCAGGCTAAAACGGATAATCGCCCTGGCCGGCCACTGACCATTGGCCAACTGGCCGGAGGCATCGTAATTAAGGCCATCGAAGTCGAAGGCGTGCACCATTTCGTGGGCCAGGATGTAGCCCAAGCCGGCGGACAGCTTGGCCATCGTGTCCGCCTCCTGGGAGCACTGCTGCTGGATGAGGGGCGTGGCCAGCAGGCCGAGCGGCAACTCAATCCGGTTCAACTTGAGGCGGTAGTAGGCATTCACTGACAGCGGATCCGCTGGCGCCGAGCTAGCGGGCTCGCCGAAAACCTGCCGGAATTCCAATTTCGCTTGGTTAAGTGACAGCTGCAATAGGTTCTCGTCACAATTGCCGCCCATCAGGGGCGTGCCAGGAGCGCCATTGTTGGGATCCTGTAGCCGAGGCGTTAGCAATCGCATGGCCCTCAGTTTGTCACGAGCCAAGTTCCGTGTGGCCAAATCATCGTGGAAGACCTCCGTCTCATTCAGCACCAACTCGAATTGCTGCTTCAGATCTTGGAAGAGCAGGGCTATCTGTTGTATGGCGGTGTCATACGCCTCCTGATATGACTCGCCCAACACCAATTGCATTTGGAGGCGTCCCAGTGGTCCAGGCATTAGTTTCCTCAGCTGTTCCAGGCTGTGTTCCTGCTGGCTGCTCAGCTTTTCGTCGTCGTGTAGTCGCAATTCGAAGTGAGCGGGTAGCTGCAGGAGCAGCCAGGTGGACATGGTCATGGCATCCAATGTCCGATCCGCCAGTAATCTCTGCAGGCCCTGCAGATAATCCAAATCCACCACCAGCAATAGGCTCGCTGGATCCCAGACGATGCCCTCCAGGAGCGCATCAAAGTATCGCTTCAACTGCAGTCCCGGCAGCTGCAACTCTAAATCCCGCAGACTATGCGGCTTCCGCAACACCAACGTCTGTGCCACATCGTTGGGCACCAGCTTCTGCAGACTCTTCTCGAATGCAACCAGTTTCGCGGCCAGCAGAGCCGCTTTACGCACTCGCATGCCCAATTCCAAGAGCAGAATCTTCAGATAACGCTCGTACAGGAACTCCATCAAGTCATCATCGCGGCCCAGCAGATAGAACTTGGGCGACAGTATATAGAAGATCCTCTGATCCGCCGACTGCCAGTTGTCCTGCACCAAGAGCCTCCACAGACCCTGAGCTCCGTACTCCCGCAGGGCGGCGTTGGCCAGCACCCAATCGAAGCTATCGGTGTTGTTGGCCAGCAATGGGAAGTTGGCACCACTGCGAGACAGTGCATCGGTGTAGGTCCTTATCGATTGGCCACTCTGCAAGCAGCTCCTGTAGAAAGTGGCCAACTGGGGCGCTGCGGAGTTGGAGGAGCTGTTGAAATCGGCTTGCTCCAGGGACTGGATGAGCTGCAGTTTCAGACGCGCCACCCACTGGGATCGCATGTCATGGGCACCAAGATTTCGCTGCAAAGTGCTCGCATGCCAATTACCGCAGGCATGCTGATGAAAGTCCATGCACGGCGCCTCCTTGGCGTCCATGTCGTTCTCCAATTGCCGCTGGCAATCCTGGGACGCCACCAGCCGCAGCAGCACTATGCCAAGGATCGCTCCCAGCCAGGCGATCGAAAATGGCAGCTCCATTGCAGCAGCCACTTACTCACTTCCACTTACAGCGACGTTCGCTTACTGACTTCCTCTCCCTCGAGTCCAAGCTCCAAGCTCCAAGCTCTAATCCGAACCCAAGTCCGGGCTGCTGATAAGCCACCGATAACCGCGCCTGACATTCAACGTGAGTCCGCGAGATGTCGGCGAGAACGAGGGTTGACCCAAAGGTTTCCCCAATGATTATTACACGTTTTACGGCTTGCTAGTAAGCTGCGCTGCTTGTGGAAGCCATTTACTTGAGTTGCAAACGATGCTGTATTGAAAACTCAATGTCAGGCTTAATTTCCACTCGGTGGAATCGTAAAACGCGTGTGGTAAATCAGCTAGTCACAAGGCCAAATCATTAAGATGAAACCGGAGATAATGCTCCCCGAACTCGCTCCCGCGTCTCGAAAGTCACTGGGCCTAGCATTCACCGTTAAATCGGAGCACACGCGTAATCAATTAATCATCTTCCACCGCGCCCCTCTCCCCCCAGCTCCCCCCGCCCGCAATCTCCCTCGATTTCAGGCACTTTGCCATGCAAAACCAAATTAGCCGGCCACCTTCAATTATTCGCCCTTTCCCCACAAACAAGCACGTGTACACTGGGCACAAAATTGCACTGACAAAAACAAGCTACCACATGCTTGATATATATATTTGATTAATCCCATAGTAGGCGTGTGCAAAAATAGCAGTATAAATCAATACAAATAGTAGTATACAAATAGTAGTACAAATCATTTAGACGTTTATTAATTAGGCTACAATTACAAATAGTAGTAAAAATCACTTTAAACCTTTATTAATTAGGTTACAATTACAAAAAGTAGTATTCCTCACTTTAAACGTTTATTAATTGGGTAATTGATAAAGTTTTTCTGCGCGTGTAGCGCCGTTTCCTGTGAGTTGTTTCGATTGTGAACAAAGCCCGCTGCGATTGGCATTTTAATAATGTTGAGAGTCAAGTTTGCGCTGCCTGAGAAGCAGATAAAATGGCACGGAAATGAATGAAAGGGAAAAGCGCGGAAGAGGAAAAGGAGGACAACAGATTAGCTTTCGACTGTGGCTGTGTGAAGTTCAGGAGCCTAAATAATTAAATAAATGTAGATTTATGTCACAGGTAGTGCCAGAATCGAATTAAACTGAAGCAAAGTACGTGGCAAAACCTTTATAACACAGTATACGGATTTAAGATCAACTTATGAACTGTGGCAAACAGCTGGAATTCAATTCATCAATATTTCCATCACACTGCCAATCTAAATTAGTCGCTGTAGAGTATCAACTTCATCAACTTCATAGAGGACCTTTCCTTTCGTTTGCTTAGTTTTAGTTAGTTACTATCTAGTTAGTTGGCAGTCCCAAAAGCCCCATGCAATTTGGATAGAAAATGCATTTGGCAATCGCTGAGCGGCAGAGTGGAAAACAGGGTTTTCCTCTTCGCCTAATTGGTATTTCCCAATTTGCAGTTTAGGGATCAACTTTTGACCGCGCACAACTTCGGTTATGTGGCACAAAATCGAGGAATAAAAATTCAATTAAAATTCAGCAAACAAACTGATGAAGGATGTGCGATGCTTAAATGTGGGCGTAAGCTGTGAGAGGGCGGGGCTGTTACTTGAAAACAGCTGCTTCACTTGAACCAAAAATAAATCATCAAAGAAACGCAAGCGGCAGAGGCAAAAAGTGGGAACTACACCGAAAAAACAGAAAATGTATTCATGATTAAGTTGGTATTAATAGTTTTGAATGTCGGAAATACACACTTTTCATTAGTTAGTAATTTCTTATGTTTGCACAAGTTTTTCATACCAATCCATTGACTGCAACCTTTAAAAGCAGAATTTGTACATTTTTATTAAAGCGTTCAATGCTTCTCTAAATACCAATTAATACTGTAAGCAATGCTCGCATTTTTTCGCAGTGTAGAGTGGAGAAGAAAAAGGATCTGCTGGCGGCAGATTCGGCACTCGACGCTTTGCAAATTAGTTTCGAGTTGAGTTTTGGTTGGTGCTAGGCGCATTTCATGCAATTATTTAGTCATAATTAGCGCATAATAGTTGCCGGTTTTCGTCGGCGCAAAACTTTGCTCATTTGCCAGTCCCCTCGCCCCCTTCCAGTTCCAGTCCCAATTTTATACCCGTTACTCGTCGAGTAGAAGGGTATACTAGATTCGTTGGAAAGTATGTAACAGTATGTAAAGTAAAGGAAGGTCAAAAATGTCCAAAGTCTGAAGTTCTAAAGTGCATAACTCAACTTATCTTAATCGGATTTTTAAGTTGCTTACCTCTTAAAGTTTCTGGCATAATTCGCTAAAGATCTGCATTCAAATTTAGAATTTTATTTTTTTTTTTAATTTTTTTGCCTGATTTTTCTGATGTGATGCCCAAGACTTTGTCGACGACGCATTTGAAAAATGTAAAATTTGTTTTAATTTTTGTAAGCTATTTCCACCGACATTCGAGTATTTGATATTTGAGTTACGGGTATCTGATAGTCGGGAGACTCGACTGTAGCATGCTATCTTGTTCACTTTCTGTTTGGCACAATTCATCATCATCGCGGAAACGAAAGGAGTTGCCCCCGCTGCTCCTTTGACAGGATAATGCCGACAATGGAAAATCAGTGCACTTGTCTCTTTAATTGAAGCAACATTTCTTGCGTGCGTTGCATTCACCAATCAATTTCTGTTTGCAACTCCAACTCGTTTCGATTCGTTTCGTTTCGTTTCGAAATTCCGAGTATTTGGCGTTGGTAATCAAATCCCTATTTCAGTGGCATAAACTCGTGCGCAAGATTATTAATTAAGTGACAGGCATTACAAGGTGCACTGCATTCCGAGGATGCTTCAATTTTGATTGTTTTTAATCCAATTAAGTAGCAAATTGAATAATGTCTGTTAAGCTCGAAAATAGCTTGCGCAACATGAATAGTTCATGGTTGAACTGAATTAGTGACAACATTGATTGGTGGCAAGCAATGTTATGGCAAAGGTTATCCATTTTGGGAGTCTATTTTCCAGCAATGGGTAATGCCTTTTGGGCCACCTGAAGCCGTCAAACTGTCAGAAATTGTTTAGTTATTGATGGAGATGCACTTTTCCGTTCAACATTCAGCGGAATGTAGCATTAATCCGGTTTTCGATGGGAAAATAATACAAAAATGGATATAAATATATAGGTTTGTATAAATAAAGTCGTGACAGACGGCGTTGAAATGCGTTGCTCTATTTGCAGCTTAAATGCGGCAGTTGCAAGCGCTATTTGGAGTTGACGTGGTGCCAATGCAGCTTGACACGAAAAATTCAATTTCCAGCACGCTTTTCCACTCGCTTTTCCTTTTCTTTAGCTGCACCCGACACCCAAGTGTCTTGGGTGTCTTGGGTGTCTTGGGTGCCTCAATTTCAAATGAAACGAAATGCAATTTGATATTTAACGCGCGCTGCATTTCCCAGTCTTTCTGTTTTCTGCATTTCAGTTTTTATGTTTAGCTGTTTTTTCTCATTTGTCCGGGGGAAAAGCACTTCATTGGCCTTGTTTTCCCTCAAACACTTTCCGGTGCCCACACACTAGAGCCGCGTTTGGGAAATCCAATGGAAAGCGCAATCTCGGCTCCACTTTAAGTTGAAGTGGAAGTTGAAGTTGTTGTCAAAACAAAAGGCTGTTCTTTTGAAATTGTTGCCAATTGTAGATGCGACAAATTATATATAAATTATGTTAAAAAATGAAATGCTAACCACTGTTACACTTTTCTTTGTTTCTGCAGTAACATTCGCGAGGGCATCATCCGGTGCATTTTGGCCACGGACATGGCCCGTCACAATGAAATCCTCACGCAGTTTATGGAGATAACGCCCATCTTCGACTACAGCAACCGCGCCCACATCAATCTGGTAAGCCACGCCCACATTCTCGACGAGAGGGACTACCTTAACCTTGCATATCGCACTCCGCAGCTCTGCATGATCCTGATCAAGGTGGCGGACATCTCGAACGAGGCGCGGCCCATGGACGTGGCCGAGCCCTGGCTGGATCGGCTGCTCCAGGAGTTCTTCGCCCAGAGCGCCGCCGAGAAGTCCGAGGGACTGCCGGTGACGCCCTTCATGGATCCGGACAAGGTCAGCAAGCCGGGCTCGCAGGTGCGCTTCATCGGACTCGTTCTCCTGCCCCTTTTTGAGGCGCTGGGCGAGCTGGTGCCGGAGCTCACCGAGCTCATCATCATACCCGTGCGCATCGCCCTCGAGTACTACAGGTAGCACTCATTTTTACTGCACACTTGCCCCGTCCTACATATTCTCCTCCCTGTGTTGCTTGCAGGCGCCTCAACGACGCCCAGACGAAAACGCGCAAGTCGGTGGCGGACAGCAATACGTCCGCGACCTCCGATAGCAACAGCGGCACCATCGACTCCAATGCGGCGATGGTCAGCACTCCGGGCGCAGCCAGCGACAAGCTCAGCTTGGACAAGGGACAGGGCAATTCGCAGGGCTCGGGCGGCGGCGGTGGAGGAGGAGGAGGAGGAGGAGCCGGCGGCGCTGGCGGTGGAACTGGAACTGGATCTGGGTCGGGATCCGGCGGAGGCGGAGGCGGCAGCAACGCCGCCGGGAGCGTATCGCCGCAAATGCCGCGCTCCGGTTCCGGGATCAGTGTGAAGTCGCGCCGCAGCATTCCATCGCAAAAGTCCGCCTCCAGGACGTCCGTGGACGAGCCCGGAGGAATGGCGGCGGAGCTCCACGATTTGCCGGAGGGCAGCGAGAGCGGCGACTCGGAGACGGCCACCGAAGTTGATGTAAGTGGGTGCATATGCAGTGTTCTGAATAAAATTGAATTAAACATTGTTCAACACATTTGCAAATAATTGAAAATAATCTTTGTTTAATATATTGCCCACCTAACGAAATCATATAAAATATTTTGATATCTTTTCGACTGGCCAACTTCGATTCCTGCGTAGGAACACAAACAAAGTCTGTAAACCTGAAGTGAATATTTTAACGAAATGCAAATGGTATTAAACTTAATTGTTGCTAAAAAAAAATATATATTCAGTTTGTGTTCTTAGTGTTCATGCCAATACCAAATATATGCCCATTAAAGAATGTAGACCTTTTTTAGTTTGCTAAAATATTCGTAGGCTTTAATGTGTGTAAAAACGCTTCTATTCAAATCATTGGCAGTAAACGAGAAACGTATGTAAAGTGTATTACATTTGGTTTTTAGTTCATGCATCACAAGACTCAACTTTCTCATCTTGCTAAGCTGTGAAAACTCTATTGAATCCAACTTTCAACCGACACAAAGACGAGAATACGGGTCAAAGTTTGTTTAAGACAATTACACCATGCACGGCATATAATTTAATCGGAATTTACCGTCTATGCTCGGCTTTTGCAGGTGGCCGAGAAGACCTCCAAATTCAAGGTGGACACCGAGGGCAGCAGCAACCGCAGCAAGTCCTCGCACTCCACCTCCCGCAAGTCCTCCCGCGAGAAGCGCCCCTCGATGATAGGCGAACTGTGCAGCAGCGGCGGTGGCCAGCGGATCCGGAACTCGTACGGCAACATCCACGGCTATCACAGCAACCGCTGCCACTTTGGCAACAACCGGGCGGTCAGCCTGGATCAGTACAGCAGCGCCGGTAACAATCGCCGCCTGTCGGATGGACTGCCGCAGGTGATCTCGGACAGCAATGTGTTCTACGGCCGGCACAACCGGAGCAGCGCTGAGACCACTGGCGCCGGCGGTGTGGTGGTTGCCATTCCGCAGGACACCAATGCGAACACCAACCACCCGGTGGGATGCCCATTGAAGGAGCTATTGGCCCGCACCGAGGCGGACTCGGAGGGTGAGGGCGATGGCAGTGGCAGGAGGGAGGAGAAGAAAATTGCGCTGGTCATGCCGTCGATGCCGCAGCTGGCCACATCATCGAACGGCAACATATCGCCGACACTGGTGGTCACCGAGCAGCAAGGAATCCTGCCCAGCAACGGCAGCACACGGAGCAGCGCCAGCAGTGGACGCGGCGGCTCCGGAGTGCCTGGTGCATCGGGTGGCGCTGGGATGCCCGGACCATCGGCCGTCTCTGGAAGTTCCTGGAAATCGAGACTGCGCCAGTTCTCCGATTACTTTAGCTTCAGCTTCGATAAGAGCAACAAGCGCTTCGGCAGCACACGCAGCAGTCCGTGTCCCGGTTCCAATGCCAGTTCGGGACGGGCCAACAACAATGCCAATGGCCTGGGTGAGAATCAGGACGGATTGGGAGCAGGCGGCGCCATAAAACCGGGCATGTGCTGCACCACCATCACCCACAGCACAGGATCGCCGATAAAAGGCGAGACGAGAGCGGGAACCGCTGGCGTAGGCGTGGGCACTGTGACCACCATGACCACCATGAGCACCGGAAATGATGCCCATCAGCGCCATCGCGCCTACAGCCTGGATGTGCCCGGCATGATGAGATGCTCCTCCAATGACAGCAGTCGCCATCCCAGCAACAATACGCTTCAGAGTGCGGGTGGCGGCGCAGTCATGACCACCGGATTAGAGGTCACAGCCCAACGAGTGCCGCCCAGCCTGAGCGTGGAAATGGGCCTGGCCAGCGGCTCATCATCAGAGGCGGGCCCACGGATTTGACAACAGGGGAGCATCAGGGAGGATGCGGTAGCCATTAGCAAGGGCTACGACGGGGCCGTTGAGCAACAGGAGGTGGAGGAGCAGGAGGAGGAGGAGCAGGAGCAGGACGACGATGAGGGCCGCGAGGAGCAGCGCCAGCTGCAGCGGCATCAGCAGCAGCCGGACGCTTCTTCCAGCTGCGAGGTGTCCTCCATGTCGATGACCGTGTGGTCGGCGATTGGTCAGCGTTTGAACGCCCTCGTCTGCCATTGCTGCGAACGCAAATTACCAGAACCAGAAAATGTCTAAGTGGGTGGATAGGTGTGCCAGATTCAATCCAGAACCCATTACCCATCACCCATTACCCATTACCCATCACCCAGTCAAGATGCAATCAAACTTTAGCAGCTGGGGGTTCCTTGGCTTTCGCAGTCGTTGGCTTAGGTTTAAGTTTAACTCCTAGCAAACTACATTAGGTTTCCACAGATTTTACTCTCTTGTTTTGTTTTTTTTTATTATTATTTTACATTTCTCTTGTTACCTTTTAAGTATTTTTATTTATGTACAAGCGCATACACACACAAATATATATAAATCTATTATTATTATTCAACGAATTTGCTGTTGTGGGTACACAGAACAACGAGCTGCATGTTCAACAAATACCTTCTTCAAAGACAAAGCACACTGATTCATTAGCAACATTTAAAAGCATTCAAAAACGCAGCTAGTTAATGAAAGTTCATGAAAGAACTTCAAAGGAAATGCCTCACATTCAACGAAGCTAAATGCATTACGACATTGCCGACTGCAGTTAGTAGCTTACTACCATGTTGCAATGGCAATGGCTAAGCCATTTGAACCCGATGAATATGGTTTTTGCCGGGAACTCCTCGTCAATAGCTGCATGACAGCATGACCAAACATCAATTTCCACAGCAAGTGCCGCTGAACCCTCAGAAAATCCGCAATGCGAGGAGTCCAGGATGGCAGACACCAAAAAACGTTGGGCCTTCAGTTTCGCTCCCATGCGAAACTCGCGTCTAATTACGCAAAACAAATTTCGGCCACTGGAATGCCTGGCATATAGGAGTACATAGGTACATTGATGTATGCAACAGGCATGTTCGCTGGTTTTATCCGCTGCAGATTCGGTCCCAGCCGACTAATTCCATTTGCTTGTAGCTCGTTGCTGTTCCACCGCTTTTTGCCCAATTTTTCTGTTCGTTTGGTTCGATTATTGCACGTGGGAGGAATGTCGCTGCAGCGGGATGCCCGCAGGAGCAATGTCCATGGCCAGTCGATGGGATTGTGCAGCCGCAGCTGTTGCTGCTGCTGCTGCTGCTGCTGCTGCTGCTGCTGCTGCTGCTGCTGCGGGGCATTGGTGTTGCTGATGACGCTGATGGCAGCACTCAATTAGAAGCCACTGTGGGAGATGTCATTCGTTCGATTATGCACGATTTTTCCGGCTGCAACTCTCAGCTGCTAAAAACGATTCTAAATACGAGAATCCTTTGGGAGGTTGATGGGCCTGCGGAAAAAAACAAACATCAATTTGCGTTCGATAATGGAAACGATTGAGGCCAACTGCATGCACATATCCCAGGAAAAGGCGGAAAATATGAAAAAAAACCTTGTTAATTGTAATCAATGTACATTTCTGTATGTAATTATGTTACATATGGTTAAACACACACACACGCGCGAATGCAGAGCAATGCGAAAATGATTGCATACTTTGCAGGGCGACCGCTGATTGGCGAAGACGAAACTTGAATTCAATTACGATATGCAGAGATACGCAGAGATAAATATAAAAATATAAAATACAATACGTATTATGCAGAGCGGAGACCAAGCTGGTCCTTGGATACAGATAAAACTATATTTACTGAAACAATTAAAGGGAGTTGTATTTTTTTTTGAATGTGTGTAATTAAGTGAGCACTAATTCGATGAGGAATATTTATTCGGTGTACATTTGGATGTCTAGCGAACTGCGGCAAATACTCTTTACTAATTGTGCATTGTAATTGCAAGCTGCAGCATATTTGTATGTATGTACTAGATGTGTACGTGTCATTTGCTCTCTAAGTTTTGTGTACGTTTGTTGTAGTGCGTAAGTAATGAAGTACTAAATATATATATTTACGAATATGTATATACACACACATATATTTATATATATATTTATACATACATGTATATATATATATACATATATATGTATATGTCAACCAGAACGCATCTGTGTATGCCCAGCTAAGTAATTATCTGCGTGTGGATTTCCGCTCGTTGTGTGTTTTCTGTAGTTAGACTTGAGACTAGCAGCCTAATCATAAGTTTATCGAATGTATTCGTGTATGTACCTTCCAGTCCCCGCACTTCGAACAGTTTTCTGTTGGTGGCCCTGCATAGACTGAGCAGGACACTATACATACATACACATATGTACTACACTTGGCGCCCGAGCAGGGACTGCATGGCATGCACTCAGATTAACTAGCAAAATGAAAAATGATACCAAGTAAAATCCCTTGACGGCAAACTCCTAGTTGTAAGACTCTACCTAGACAAACCACTCGAAATTAGCTAACACATCAAATTGATTTGTTGCCTTATGATACTACAACTACTACAACTACTACTGTAATGCATTACAGCTGTGTGTGTGAGTGCTCCGCGCGGGAAAACTCCACTTCATTGGTCACAGCGTTTTATATTGTTCATGCCACCAACTTCCCTTGTTTGAATGACAAAACATAAAGACTAAAACTTGAATTTAAACAAAATCAACAAGAAAAAAGAATAAGAAAATGAAAAAAAAACAAACAAAGAACTTTCCAACAAAACCAACTATACATATAGATACAAATATATATATATATATACATAAATATTTATCTTAAAGATACTACAACTACAAAAATCGTCAAAAAAAGAACTCTAGGTGTTTTACCAATGCATAAAACAAAGAAATAAATGGCAACTAAACCCAAAACCAAACGTAAGCCATTTCAAGCATAACTAAACTAGTTTAGAGCCCAAGCAAGAAAGCAAGAAAGCAAGCCAAGCAAGCCAGATGTTGGCCAAAACCAAATATGGATGAACAAATTTGACAGGCCGAAAATATTAATGTCCTTGCAATGGATCATCAGATCAATAATTAAATCTTTTAAGTCAATTCAAAGTATTCAAAACAAAAAAAAGAGAATCACAAAGAAATGGCTGACAGTTTTTAATGATTGACTTACTTGCTACATTGCATCAACAAATATTTCAATAAGTAAAGACAATAGGTGAATACGCATTAATATAAAAACAAATATATAATAGATGTTTACTACTTTGGATCATGTTTTCCCTAAGAGCCTTTATTTAAATCCGACTACATTTTTGAAATCATCTCAATTAATAAATTAAGAATTAGATTTTATTAAATTGTTTTCTATGTTGTCAAATAATACAAAAACTACACAAGAAATATTGCGAAAAAATAAATGATTTGCCCGTGAGTGTATAACATTAGGATATCAAAATTCTGTTACGGTACGTTTGCCAAACATTGAACGATTGACAGCTACACTACCTATATAAAACTGATCGAATCGCTAAAGAGCATTGCAGGGGCATTCCTATGGTTTTTCGGCAATCACGTAACTATTTAGCGTACTCTTTGGCAGTCAATTAAATGCTTCCCCTTCCCAAAGTTGGTTGAATGATATGCATATGTTATGTATGGGAGAGATACGTCGGATGAGATCCGATAGCGATAGATAGAACGAGTTCCAAAAGACAAATGCTTGTTCGGACCTAATCAAATATTTAAACAAGAATATGAGCAATTTGGACCAACTTGACTAAACCCTTACACTTAACCCTTGATTTCCAAACGAAAACCCCTGCAGCTACATATTTATGTATAAATGTATGTGCAATGTGTAGCGATATCGACTACGATAGCGATTCAGTATATGTACAAGCAGAATACACACACAGACACACCGACACGGACACAGATACAAATACAGAAGTCTTAGTGTGCAGTTCAACGTATGTAACAATCTCGTAGGTCTAAACCACAACTACCTGTCGACTTACCGATCTACATTGAGATCAACAATATCAGCTTGATAGCAAGGAACGGATTAGAAGAGGAACAGTGGGAAAGGAGCAGAAGAAACGCAGGAAATGGCACAGGAACCGCATGCATCTTACTTTATACTTTTCTACGTGACTTACAACTCGAGCCGGAGACGACAAACAACTAGAAAACTAAAAAAACTTCCTAAACGGTTTCCACAAAAACACAAGCCTATCACACGCCCCAAAATCCACGCACACAAACGCAGCTTTGTCAATGAGAAAATTTCTTCCAAAAGAAGTAAACCATTTACGTAAGCCCTTCTTCTTACGTATTCAAAGTTGGTACTACAAGTTGGTACTTAGTGTGACCTTTCACATCGACGATGTGACCAAGTGTGCATCTGATTCAAATGCGAAAGCTTTCTGGCTTGATTGCAAACAAATTCTATATTATTTCCAAGCAATTTGAGCTTAGTACTCATTGACTATGTCTGTCGAATAATCAAATGTCCAGGCAAGGCATCCAACCACCGATAATGGACCACACCCTGCACCAGATAGATAACCCGTAATAACCCGAACCCAACTGCTTAGCCCTTGAAAGCCTTGACCGCCATCTAAAGTTGGTAAAAAGCGTTACTTCTACAAAACAAATATGCAACTAATATATGTGTAATTAACTAGTGACCCTCCTGAACAACTGACAAAGCCTTTATTCCACTCAAAAAAAAACACACACAAAAAATACAAAGACTACAATTTTAATATACAAAAACAAGAGAATCAAGATCTTTAGGCGAAATTTTAATCAAGAAGAAAGTAAGAGAGAACCTTGAACAGCATTCTTCGGCAGGCCGAAGTTTAGATGCTCTTTCAACGCCCACACACATATGAACTAAGGAAAGATCTATTATATATACATATAAGCCTGGCCGCTTGCTCTTCAGTGTACTGGAACTGTGTTTTTTTTCACCTCCCATGTTGCAAGACTTTTTAAAAGTGAAAAGAACCAGAAAATAAAAAAACAGGAGTACTGGAGATACCGTTGCAAAATAGCGAAAACCCAAAAAGATCCTCGAAAACTATCTTTTGCAGGGGCATCAACAAGTTATATAGTATATTTTCAAATTTTATGTCAGTGAATAGAAATGGATATATACATACACATATATATACACTTACCAAATAGAATCATAAATATATACATAAAAATAGTTATAATTTGTAAGTAACAACAGAGATCAAATGGTCAGCAAGCTAAATATCTTACGGATATTTATCCACACAAATACGAAATACTGCAGACACACATCCCAAACGTAGTTGAATTCTTTACGATGGTCAAATACTAAGGATCGGAAACACTATCACTATCACAGCAAAAGAGCAAGAATTGAGTGTAAATTAAACAAATTGAAGAATGCAAACCAATTCTTCCCCCACACACCCCAAATATCCACAGATGATATCCCTCACCATTCCATGGAAAGTTATACAAGTACAATACATGCAAGAGATAGACATACATACATGCAAGCATATACATATAGAAACAAACCAAAGAGCATGAGAAAAACAAAGCGCTGAGCACATTCTATGTGAAGTAATAGTTATTATACGAGTATATCTATACATACACACCTACATATATACAAGCATGAAAGCATTTAGATGTAAAAAGCTCTTGGCACCCCTAAATAAATGAATCAAATATCGCTGAGTCAGTCACCCACACAGAACAGTCAAATGGGTGTACAACTAATAAATCAGCTAAGAAACGAGAAATTCAATGAAACTTTCCCGAAAATGCATTTAAATGGTAAACAAATATTTAAATGAGATAACTCAACTTGTATTTAACACTTAGTTATGTCCAACTCAGATTAATGGCATACAAAGACAAGCAACATGCGAAACACACAGAGACAGAAAGACCGCGATACAAAAAGGACTACTCAAGGACACACCCATACCAGTGAAGGAACCTACGAGACAAACACGAACACACGAACACACGGACACACTCACACACAAGTATTTTTGTGTAAAAGTATAAAACAGAAAATATGAACTAATGAATGAATATGAAATATATTGAAATAAAATCATTTCCAAACTACTTATTAAAAATGTGCTGTACGTTTTTATTGGGATACAGTCAACGTGAAGCTGAATATTTTCCCTCACAGCTCAGCAAACTACGTGCACTCGCTTTTCAGTTTTTAAGGCTTAAATTTATGATTTAGCAATCGAAATATGCTTGATATAAATATATTAATATTATTATTATAAATAATATCAATCAAGTAAGCACTGGCTTTCCATTTTGAAATTACGTATATGTAATCCTTTGGCGGGCATATTTATCCTCGAAAGCTAACTTGATTTCAGGTGCTCTTTTCGGAAAAAGCTGCTAAGCTTTTGCAAAAGCTAAAGCGCTCCTTAAACCGCAATCGCATTGTTTGTCTAATGCAGAGGTAGAAAGCTATTGGCTCGAGAGAATTTGGTTCGAGAGAAAACTAAGTGCGAGTGCGTCTGCCAAAAGCTAAGACATGTTGCGCGGACATGTTGCTGGCGGCACCGATGTTGCTGCTGCCCCGAGCCAGCAACATTTGTTGGCGCGCAGCCTCGGCGTCGCCGTCAGTTGGCTCTTGACTCTCCCACGCTGCAGTCGGTGGCTCTGGCCGGAATCAGCACCGGAATCGGAATCGGAATCGGTATCGGAATCGCAATCCGAATCGGAATCGGAATCTTGCCCGGATTGAAGGCGGACTGGGAGTGAGAGAGTGGTTCGTCACACTTGCAGTTGCAGCAGCAGCAGCAGCAGCAGCAGTGGCAGCAGCAGCAGTGGCAGCAGCGAAAATCAACAGAATCAACAAAGGCAACACAAAAGACGGTGGGCAAAAAGCAATCAGCAAACAGTCGGTTGTAAAAAGGACTCGGAAGCTCGGAAAATAGGAAAATCGGGGCGACGAAAAACGTGGGGGGTGTCTGCCTGCTTGCCACCGCTGCTCGCTGGCTGGGAAATTCGTGTTGTGTTTTGTTTTCACATTTCCCTTCCTTTTTTTTCAAGTATTTTTAGTGCTTGCGTGCGAAATTTTGTTGGTGTCAAAGTTAAACCATTTACGTGAGATGTAAGTAGCAGAGCCTTGAAAAGAGCAAAAATAGCCAAAAAATATAATAAATAAATAGAAAAGGGAAAATCAATGCGGGTACGCGTGTGCCCCTGTGTGTGTGTGTGCCTGTGTGTGTATGTGTGCATGTGTGTGAGTGTGCGTGTGTGTGTGTTTGTGTTTGTAAGGAGGAAAATCCATAAAACGGCGTGAAGTGAAACTCGAACTTGTCGCTCTCCTTTGCGAATAATAAGTTGCAAGATTCGAATTAAGCACTGGGTGTGTGTGGGTGTGTGAACTTCTCTGTTTTTGGCAGCCGCAAGGAGCCAAAATATGTGGCAAAAAATGGAAATGAAAACGCCAGTCCCAGCAGCCCCAAGAAGCTTTGTAAACAAGCCATTCGGCTGCCAAACACGGAACTGCCGAACAGCTGATGCGCCGCCCAACCACCCCCCGCAAAATGCCCACCACCACCCCCAAAAAACACTCACACACACACAGAGGCGGAGGCAGAGGTAAAATTGCTGCCAAAAACTGTCTGTCGACACAATGCAGAGAAACTTTTGGGCCAACAGAACAGTGGGCAGAACTTGATATAATTTGTTGTACATCGAACTAAATCAACTGAAACAATTGAGCTCAATCAAAAATCGCCGAAGCACACAATTAATAAATGCACCCAACTATTCTGTGAGCCCAAAAACAAGAGTCTACAAGACATGTTGTACAGTTTGGAGTTCAAACGCTTTTTTTTACCAATATTTACCATTCTTTTTACCACATTAAAACCACTGTATAACAACATCAAATTGATTAAGTTTCCAATAATATATCACCTTTTTCCACACACCCCAACACACACACACACACACGCAAAGTGCAAGGACAGGCTAAGAAGAAGAGCAGCACAAAAAGGATAATTGCAACAGCAACGCAAGAAGCAATCTAAGCAACTGCAACTGCAACAGCAACAGCAACATTTGCTGCAAGTGCAGCTCCACAGCCGTCGCCGCCGCCAAGTTCAAAATCAACGCCTGACAATGACAAAAGCAGCAGCAGCAGCAACACCAATCAAAACAGCAGCAGAAGCAGCAACATCAGCAGCAGCAGCTGCAGCAGCAACTGCAACTGCAACCGAAGCAATAACAATCAATGGGCCCCAAACGACATGGCGACGTCAACGCGGCTGCACAACAGCAACACGAAACATGCAGCAGCAGCAGCAAGAGCAACAGCAACAAACGTACTTGCAACGCCTGAAGGCGGCCGGTCGACTGGGGGCGTGGCTGCCACCAATGACGTCGCTGCGGCTGCCAACTGACTATCTCGCCCAGCTGATTTTGGCCCTGTGCCTGCTGGGCTGCCTCAGCCCCTTTACAGGTAATTAGCATTTCATTTGCAGCCCTTTACATCAGGGACGCAATCCTGCTCATGCTTTCCAGATTACTGCCCATAGTTTTCAGTATCCGACACGTATGCCTGTAGAGAAACAGATCAAATGTACTGGCGGCTAGAGCAACTAAGGTCCACCCTAATGTACCTAACATTGGCGTTTCCTCGTTAGCAGCGCCTCTTCTTCTTCTACTTCTTCTTGGTCTTCTTCTTCTCGCGCACCCAAATCGAATCAGTTTTTAATGCCCTCTAATGACGCGATTATCCTGGAATAACATTTGCGTTCCGCAGCGTTTTGCGCAAAATTAATTTCGCTGTAGGTAACTGCGGGAGAAAAGCAATGGAAATGAAACTGTCAGAAAGGCTGCCATAACAATGTCAGCCCGCCTTTCGTTGAATATTTTCCCTCTTTTCCGCCTTATGCGAAATTTGCATATATCGAACTGCAACCTTCGACACAACCAACACTCCAATTTCTAAGGCGCCGGTGAGTCGGCCATAAATCTGCCTACTACAGTGAGTACTCACTCGGCCAGCCATTTGAAATTTAATATCAATAATGCAGACGCCTTAATGTCAATCGAATTAAACTCAATGTATCTCTTGGGTTTTGAAATCCATTATGCAGCTGTCTTTGTTTGTTGACTGCAAGCAAAATAACTATGCAATAATTCTCCGGAGTGTTGAAATCAGTTGAAATTAATAGTTGTAAAGGCAGGCTGATCAATAATTTAGCTTGCCAAAAGAAAGGAGTTTAAATTTTCATTGCCAAAAGCAGGAGAAATTCCCCAAAAAAAGTCAATAATCTTGTCTAATAAATGGCAAAACCAGCTCATTAGTTTGTTCAAATATATATTCCGTGTCAGTTGCTATATTCAAAATTGCTCTTGGCAAAACTTGTATTTTCCCACAAATAGAGTGCCAACTGTACTCCACCTTGCGAGTGCTCAATCAAATTTGATGATTCTGTTTTTCTTTTATGTGCCAGTCGGAGCCGAGCCATAAACAATTGCCAGCAGAATGGGAAAAGTCTTGAGATTGCCAGAAAGGCTACCACTGCAGTGGCAAAAAGCCTCTTGGCCAATGGAAAGTGTTGAAAAGTTGGACTAAATTACAGTTTTCGAGCATTTTCCATTCATGATCTCTGCGAAAAGCAACTGGAAGTGATACATTTGAATGAAGTAAATGAAGTATTTGTTTTTAGTTGTTTCTTTAGTTCCTTTATTTATTGGCGAGCAGTTGAATATTCTTGAACATTTCTTAGAGCCAGTGACTTTTTCTAGCCGTGTAGCTTCTTTCTATTGAGCAGTTTGAGTTGTTAGTAACTTGGCTACAACCTTGACTTTGCACATGCAACGAACACGGCTGTTCTAACCCTCCTTTCCAACCGCAAAAACCACTTTAGTTACACACAATTTGAATGTTAGAACAGAAAGCTAGAAGAATAGCAGAAACTGGAACATGTGGTCGCTGCTCAAGTGCTGATGGCTTAACTCAAGTGAGATTGATATCGAGCGATATGCGCCATCAATCATGAGGCTTTCTATGGCATAACAGCGTCTAATTAAGTGCACGATGGCCATTGTGGGCGTCAATGGGTTAAGATGTGCCCTGCTGAGGAACAGTATTCAAATATATTGAGAAAGTATGTAAATTATGTAAATTATTATGTAAATTCTTCATATATATTACGAGTATATACCCCTTTGTGCCATCTCAAATGCGGGGTATAGCTTACATAAAGTACGCCGATCGATGGTGGAGCGTTGCGTTTGGGCTAATTACAGTGGCTACAAAGAGTGGTGCTCGTTTGCTTTTCCTTCGTGATGGCGATGGTGGGGCAATCAATCGACCGTTGAGTGGTGACAAGAGTTGCTTGGTTGGTTGGTTGGTTGGCTTGGGTGCTCCATCGAGAGATGGTTGATTATGGCCAACGACGCAATCGGATGGTCAATCGATCCACTCCATGGCTAATCTGAACCCAAATCGCGTAGTCAGGGTCATCTAATGGCCCCCATCCTTTTGCTCCCCAAATCAACATGAGTGCGTTCGTAAAGTAAGGGATGCTCTATCGAATTTGAACTGCAAGTGCAGCCATCTGGCAAAAGCACAAACATTTATGGCAGGGATCGTTTAAAATAACATTTAAATGTAATTGCAGTCGTGTTTTATTGAGCACATGCAGTATAAATGTTACAACCAGATAACTATAACACACTGTAATCTGACGTACTTACTTCATTAAATACGTGATTGAACTGATGGGTTGCCTAAATCGTACCTACTTCCTATTTGAAATAACTAATTGAACTGTAAAAACTGTACTCTGATAGGGTTGCCAAAATCTTACTTACTTCATATTTGAAATACCTAATTGAACTGTAGTAAACTGTACTCTAATAGGGATGCCACAATCGTACTAACTTCCTATTTGAAATACCTAATTGAATAAACTGTACTCTGGTAGGGTTGCCACAATCGTACTTACTTCCTATTTGAAATACCTAATTGAACTTTGCAATACAAAAAGTGTATTATTTTGGCAGTCATTTTAAGTAACATATACAATTTTTCTACTTTATCTTTAGTTAATGCCTAGTTAAGCACGGATGTTTAATTTGAATCAATTGGCCCACGTGCCGTAGCCTTAAACTCTACGTTCAAGCCGTCCACTTGGCACATTACGCATACGACACGTTGACGGGTAGGAAAAAAGTGCCATTACAAAAGGCAAAACAGAAATGTGGGGAGGCGGCTGAAGGGTTGGTGTCGACGTGACCCGGCTAATTACCCAGCACCGTGGCATTCAAAATGGTTTTGTAATCTTCGCTTCCGTTAGCAAATCGCCAGTCGCGAATTGGCCAAAACAAACGGCAAACATGAAATGCCAGAATTCAAATCAAATCAAATACGATTTGATTAGCACTGGCGTATCCAACTCCTACTTATACTCGTCTACAGCTTAAGCTACATGAAACGATCCTTTTCATTGAATATGAAATGTTTTGTTGGCCACATTTTTTCTCTGTGCATAGAGTGGCGAATGAGAGTCGCAAGGCAGGCAGCAAAAGTGGAAAACTTGATGGCTGCACTCACTCAACGATGCCACCGTGACCCTGCCACTTGGGCAGCCCCTTGCCAATCCGGCTTTCCCCCGATTTTCCCATGCTTTTCACCGCCTGTCCTCCTCTTCCCTCGCCTTGCCTTTCCATTCGTTTCCTTTGCTTTTTGCTTAGGCATTTATGAACTGCTTCGACACAAGGCTACTGCAACTGTGGCAGTGCATTTCATTTCATTTCATTTTTTTGTTTTTCTTTTTTTTCTTTGCCTAGAAAAGTGGCTCATTGTGTTTGGCCAGCCAGCATTTTGAATTGGCCACGAGTAGGAAAAGCGGAAAATCTTTTTAAGCATTCTTCTTGTCAAGTTCGGGAAAGTGGCGAGTGGCGTGTGGCGTGTGGCGTTTGACATTGAAAGTGAACTTCCCACATATCCGCTAGGCTGGGCTGCTTTAAATGAAATAGTAAAACAGTTGGACAACAAGTCCATATGTACAAATTAAACTGAATCACTTTGCACATAGAAAAGAGACATATGCATATGTAAATGGAACGTCAATCATGCAAATTAAGCCAAATTGTGGGCCAATTGACAACGAATCGGGAATCGAGTGCACTCACTTACATTTTCCCCAATTGACGCAGGTCGCTGGGACTTTAATTATTTGAAGCAGCCGCAAAATGCACTGCTAATTCATTTAATTGCAATTTGTCACGAAGTTTTCAGTTGCCACTTAGTGCGAAAAACGAGTGTGTGTGACTGCGCTCGAAATTGATTTTCCCTGAAAATAGCACAAAGGACTAGACCAATTTAAGCGCATTTCGGTTGAATTTCCGCGCCAAAAGAGGACACACACAGACACACTTGCACAGGATGTTGCTGAAGGAGCACCTTGTTAAATGTCACAACAAAAGCTATTTATAAGTGAGCCGCGGCCCTGGACGCACCGCTTCCCCTCCCCCGCCACGCAAGTGACCCCAGACCCCCAAGACCCCAAAAAGAAGCCACCATGTCCGTCCTTTGGACTCCCAACGCCCAGGTCAGGTGGAAATGCGAAAAAGCCAGGCATTAAAATGTAATAAACATAATTGTGAAATAATGCCGGCGCTGCAACGAAATGCATTTGCCAGCGCCGAAGACAAACAGAACACTTAAAAAAAGTATATGTATAGAAGCCATATGGTATTACTTGCACTGAATTCAGCTGCCTACACATTTTAGAAACAAATGTGGCTGCCTAGGTGTTTCAATTAAGTTTGTTTCGCCCAAAGTTGTCAATTAGCAGCTTTTCGAAGCGCCTAAAGGACCTCCAACTGTTTGCGAATTTCCGAAAACCGATTCGTGCGCTTTTCTCGCAGTATGTGGCATCCACTGCGAAGGGCGAAGGTTAAGCAGAGAGTGGGCGGTGGGCGGTGGGCGGAGGTGGGGAGCTGGCCTGCTAAACTTTGACCCAGGACGAAGCTAAATTGTTTGGGCGACAGCTGGCGCACGAAAGTTGAACGCTTGCTTTTAATTATTCAGCGATCTTAAAAAAGGACTGCGGCGAATGTGAGAATAAACGGGGGAGGGGATGGGAAAATGGGAAAACGGATAAAGCGAAAGCTGGCAAGGAAAGCGGGGAAAACCCGGCAAGAGCAAGACCACGTGCAACCTACGAACTTTCGCTGCAATGGCGGAAAATCGTGGCTATTGCGAGAGAGTGGCAAGTGAAAGTAGGAAATGCGAGGAGGAAAATGCGAAGAGGATGAGAGGGCGAAAGGACGAAAGGACAATGCAGGGCAAACAAACGAACAAACGGCTGCAGCTTCAGCCCAAATGCCGCCACCCATTTTCCTGCCTCGAAGTTAACAATGCCGCAACTTCCCCAAAAAGTGTAAAGGAAAATCGCCCGAGACACAGCGAAAGAAAAAGTTTGCCGCCGTGTGTTGAGCGTCGCACTGCAAAAAATCAGCTGTCACTTGGATTGTTCTTTAAAGAGCACGTTTTTCAAACGAAATAGAATAAATACACCTTTTTTACCTAGTTACAAGCATTTAAGTAAAATGAGAAATGAGAAAAAATCGCATAAAATTTATATATAGTTTTCTATACACTACATAGTTTTCTTACACTATATTAATGTGGAAAATTTGTTGTTTATTTCCAAATACTTTAACCCAAACTGTTAATTGATTTGTTCTCAAGTTGCTCAGCTTATGTTGCACTCCACACAATTGTTGCAAGTGTAGAATGCGACCCATTAAAGACCGCATCCGCAATTCGTGTGTTGCGGTCGAACCTGCACCTTCGTATCAGCAACAAATGCCCGGCTGCACCTACGTCACTTGCAACAATTCCGCCGTCATGTGCAGAAATGTTGATTGCAGCAATGTTGCAGAGCTTTTGCGACCCCGTGACCCCCTCCCACAGACCCCACAGACCCCACAGATCTGCCAGCTGTCTGTCCCCACAAATGTCCAACTGTCAGTGGCACTGTCCCCCTGAAATTGATTCTAACATGGGGTATTTATTTCCCTAATGATGAGGGTCAACACTTTTGGGAGCCTTAAAAAGTGCGCAAGTATTCGAATTGAAAATGAAGGCTAGTGGGTTTTGCTACCGCCACATAATGCTGAAAGTGGAGTCAATTTATAAGGTAGTGCATCTATAGGTTTTCCATATTTCATAGCTTCATTCATGAAGTACTAGGCATAGCAATTAATTATTCAGTCGTCTAACTAACTGACAATCGAAATCAGTTCAATGGCAAACGGCGCACGAAAACACGTATTATCTGGCTTTCGATTTGATTCTAAATTGGCATTTACGTAACCCCCGGTTCACACGAATTGATAGTCGCTGATCCGTGGGTTCAAACGGCGGATTAGCCGGATTAAAGTGGAGCATGGGCAGTTTAGATGGCATACACGTACACACGACTTAAATATTTGAATGGGACCGCCATTAAATAACCAAGTGATTGTCTCTGATTTCCCAGCTGCACTCGAGGAGGACTGCGTTGACTTTCAGGGCAACAAGGTGAACCACGGCATGCTCTATGTGCCCGGACCAGGAGTCTGTAGCCTCTGTGTCTGCTATCACTCCGAGCCACTCTGGTGCAAGGCCATCTACTGTGATCCGCCCTACGTGAGTAACTAGTGCGCTTAAAAAGCAATGGTGCACTTAGGTCTTGTATAACCCAAACGATATAGATGCTAACTTCCATCCATTCTGCCCATTAGTTTTGCAAAAACTTCCGAGTTGGCGAGCGTTGCTGTGAGTTCGAGTGCTTGGATCCGCCCGGCGAGGACAAACTGTACCAGGTAGGTACAGGTGGCCCGGAATATGAACAAATGTAACCAGACTCTGCCTTTGTCAATAGGAGCGCATGCGAAAGAGGGCCGAGATACTGGCCGGGAACAGTACAGCCTCGAATGTGCAACTCGCCCCGATTGCCATGTCCACCATAATGCTGGGATTCCTGGGCAACAGCTTCCTCAACTTATAACTTGAAGTCAAATAGCAAGGAATGGAGGTCAACTCAAGGCGAAGCTAAATCACAACATCCTCATTTTTGTTGCTCCTAAAGCGTAGGAAACTCTCTGCCCCAAAAAATTATTACAGTGTAATAAGCAAAGCAAATGAAACCGGGCCACATATCTGTGGCCTTCAACCGAATGGATGCACAGATGCAGCGCGCCATCGATGCGTAGGTTCTCACTTATATCCCCAGACTTATAATAGGTACAATAATAATTTCAATGGACATGGAACAGGAACAGCTAGGGCATGGAAAGTCGCCCCACAATTGCAAAACATTTTCGAGTACTTTCAATGTGATCCGCATCCGAATCCGAATCCAAATCGAATCGGTAGAGCCAGCAGATATAGCATATACACTTACATCTACCTAAGTATAGATGAGTAAGCAACACCAAGAAACCAGAACAAACTCATCAAGCGAACGTATAAGACAGTCTCTAGCTCCTAAGACTATAGTAAAGAAATATATATATATATATGTAAAAAAATATATATACACAGATGTATGGACATCTATGTAAGCGTATTGTACATAAGAGTATATAGCTCTTTGTATCGGATCAAAAATTGTTGATTAGTGTTTAGCTAACTGAATGAGGGCAACTCTTCTAGGAAGATAGGTTTTTTTTAATCCAATAAAAATGTTCACCATAAGTCGCCGAAGACACTATACACCACAGTTCACCACATTAGATACTGCTCCTAGTACATTTTTTAGAGCTGTCAGGGCATCGGTAATATTTTGTATGTTAGTTTCTACCTAAAAATAAATGGAATATGAAAAACAGTCAGGAGGAAATCGTTGGAAACGATAGTAACATTGGCATTAGCATTGAAATGCGAAAACTTGATAGCTCTAATTTCTTTCCAACCACCAAACACGTTTAAAACTTATATAAATGGCGGTAAGGGCAGAACGATGGAATCGCGATCTTAGTAAAGGGTAGTAAATTACACATATCTTGGCAACATTTTTTCCAAAATATTATAACAGACACGGTCACGAATGAATCATTAACTCTTGCATTGGTGCTAATTTTATCGTAGGCTAAAATATAATTAAAATCACACACTCCCCACTTCGCACATCACACTCCAATCACATTGAATCAAATTCTATATATCAATTAGGTAATGTAATCGAAAGCAAAAAGTGTAGTTAACCAATTAAAGGTAATGACGACCCTATGTTTTATGTAAGAAATTTGCCTAAGGTAAATCCGTTAACGATATAATACTAAATAATTATAACAATAACTAATGGAAACCAACTCCTATGTTAGCTCGCTGGATAGGTTTTCATTTTGCCCTTTGGATAAATCAAGTGCATAATCAGCGGAAAACCAATACCAGATTCGGCAAAGCTTAGTAGACATGTAGGAAAATCCCTTCAAGAAGAATAGATCTCGTTTCAACTTTAGGCTAATGACTCTGAAGCCATCTCCGTCTCTTTCTATATATATATATTAAACCTATGAATGTAGCAAATAAATCTAGAGATATAGCTGGACCAGCAGGCAAAACATGAACTCGAATGAACATGAATGGAGTCGATGGAAATCAATATATGTGAGTGGGTTTCACAATCCAGGGGAAGTTGGTCAAATTCTTTTTCACTTGACAGCACATCAAAGTAAATTACATTTTAACAATAAAGTACATATATAAAATGCGGGATATCCGAGAAAAACGTGGAGTACGGCTGTGAAATTATGTTTGCTTTAAAATGCATAAACGCAACTGTAAATATTAAATGATCACTAAAGTATATAGGCCATAATATGGTAAAAAAAACTATTCAGATCAAGTAGAGGAGAAGATTCGATAAAAGTGAAATGAAGCTCAGCGAGACAGGAAATTAGAAGAAAGCTAACTAATTAACTGAATGTACAATTCAATATGCCACAACATCTGACCAATTATGATCCATAACAGATAATATATATATACAAACAGATATGTATACATACATCAATCCAAGTATCTGATAAGAAAAATTACAAATTTTAATTAAGCCAATACGGAAAGAAAAAGATGATGACAATGAGAATGAGATTGAGATTGAGAATGAGATAGAGAATGGCAGATTCGAAGCGCGCTTAACCAATTTTTAACATAGACTCAACTAACAAATGCAAATTGGCTTTAATTAACAACTAATAACAAAGAAATCACAAGAATAATAATTATGTATAACCCAAAGTTGATATTGAGAAAAGTATTTGAGTTGTTTTCGATCGATTTTAGTTCTAGATAGCAGTGTTGTAAAACAACCGAAAAACTTTTTCCTAAGCTTAAGCGCTTTGCCATTTGCAGGAACCCAAAGATCCTTGAAAATAATGTTTTTATAACCGATGAAGTGGGCTACAGGCAGGATATAAAGCTCCCTGTATTCCGATATCTGGAATGATACAACAAATACAAATCCTAATGGCAGTTTTTAAAATATTCCTTCAGTTCAATACGATCTATGCAAAAATTCCTAATCATTAATAATCAAACCGTTTCAACACTGGCAAAGTGAAAGAGAGACAAAAACACAGCGAAAATGAAAGAGATAGCATAACTAATGTATGCTTTTGGGCTATATATCCTGCCTTCCAGACTGGAAATGATTAATCTTTATTACTGATATTAATTATTGTAGAGCAGGAAATATTTTACAATTCTTAAACCTTACCAAACCAAATCCAAAAACGCTAACAAAACTATTAAACTTGACAATTTTTAATGTTATCGAAATCAAAGTTCTAACAAGAATGTCTAATGAAAAAACTTGAAGAAAATGCAAAAAATATATTGATTAAAATAAAAACAAAGCAAGAAATGTCATGAAATGTTAACCGATAATTTCGCAGAAGAGGCAAATCCAAAATCATGTACGCATACCTTAATATAATAATAATATTAATTCTAATACCAGAAAATTTTAACAAAAATATACAAATATTTTCACAATAGCTTAAAATAACTGCACTTGTGTCATTCTTGGGGTATATGCATATTATTCAAATATATTAAATGCACTTGCGGATCTCGCATGGCAACATGTTTAATATCGGCCATTTACCAAAACTTATCAGTTGATTTATAAATGTTTGGCAAAACTGATGACGGTCAATAAACAAGACCCCCCATGGGTAAAATGCTGTTATCGGATCGGTATACAGAAATACATTATCTATATAGCCAGCTGGAAATGGTCCAACCAAAGGTTGCATTTAGAAATCAACGATTAGATTTCAACCGCACCGAATGTGCATTATGTTCCCTGCGTTGTCGGCGTCTTTATATTTAAGATTTAGTGTGTGTTTGATCTTCGGCACCTGATAAACACTGGACAGGAAGCTACTAATCAGCTGCGATAAGATGAATTCTCCAAGATCATACGTGCTCGCATAATCTCAGACGGAAGAGTTAGCTGTTGATAACCAGTTCGAACTTTTAACATTTAAGTTAAAAACTTGCCATTCAATGTTGTTGATTTTATGTACGATTTCGAATCGTCGTCATAACTCTAAACTATTTGATAAGCCCACTTGTAGATACAAATGTTCATAGTCCATCGAAAGCCAAACCGCCAGAAGAAACCATCGTAAATATTTGAAAAAAATATTTATTATACTTGTATTTAATTGTTTCCTTCGCTTTCGCCCTATCGCTTTTGATTTGTCTTTAAAGTAAACCGCATAGTATTTACAAAGTTAAGTTAACACTTTACCAGACAGATGGTACACAATTCACAATATACTTGAATACAATACACAAATAGGTGTTAGTTTAAAGATCCCATAAATTCCTTCGATGCCATGAGGTGATAAAAAGGTGAGAAGATAAAAAGTAAAATTATTCCTTTCTGTATGCAATTACAAGCGAATAGGGATACATTTTAATGGGGACCCTAACCTAGTTAGGGAATGTCTTGTACAAATAAAATACGTATGGTTTAAAAGAACTTGGTTAACTGCTCGTCAAGTGGTCGATTGTAAAAATCAACCAGAATTCGGCCTACATAAGTATGTTGTCATTTGCAAGATTAGTCATTCACAATGTATGTTTAGATATTTTTTATTATTAATTATATATTATTTGGTGTTATCATCTAGCAAGTACACGCGACAACAGGACCAACAGATATCATTGAATTATCATTGGCGGATAAAAACCCAATCGAAATGGCTTGGATCTTAACAATGCCTGATTAGGTCCATAATATAATCCAAGTCATTTCGATTCCTGTTGCATGCTGTACGATAGAGTTCATGTTTTTGGTTTGTTGTTAGTTGTTTTGTTTTTTTTGGTATGTGTTGCCTAAGAAAGAGATAAAGTCTGACAGTCGAGGGTCGCAGTTTTGTGGTTGCTACTCCTAATACTCATTTTGGTGCCTGAATTAGTCAAACTATTTGGATGTGAGTGTTGTTGCGTGGGCTGTAGCCGGAGACGTTAAAAGTGAGGAGCCAAACACATGGAACTGGCTTTTAAAATACACCTCTTCTTATACATTTAGTTAGGAATAAAAGATTATGCAAGTGCGGAAATCTACAAAATGATGCGCATGTTAACTTGATAAACAATGCTGGTTTATGTTCGAAAAAGTGTGTAAGCCTAGACCTATTTGGGATTTGACATTTTCAGTTAAGACTAGCGCACTGTCAACATCCATATTGCTAAATGATTTAAAAGTGCTAATACTTTCCTTGTTTCGTTGTTTAAAGTGGTACGGATTTGGTATTTACAAGTAAGCAGCTACTTTAACTTCTCTTTCAGTTGATTAAATCAAATTTGAAATGACTCTGTTTTCGATCAATGCAGTCAATATCTTATACTGGGTACAAGCAGTAACTTAAAAAATACTTCAGCCCCTACGAATTGAGAAATAAATTACGAAATAAATACAATAAAATGATAAGAGAGCATAGTTGGACTTCAACCAATAATATCAATACAAATACTGCGCGTGTACGAAAATTGCACAACTGTAGACTATAGAATTCCCAAATAGGCCCAAATAAAGCTGATTGCAGGTGGTCGTGCCCATCTAAAAGCCCCCAACGTGACACACCAGCTACGCCATGAGGTGTTTGGTATTTTTGGATATGAGTGTGTCTGGCTGTGGGTGTGTGTGGATGTGTGTGGATGTGTGTGTCTGTGGATCAAATGCTACATCGCCTAAAGCGTCTTGAGCAAGCTGGCCTTTGCGGCACCGGCTCCATAGCCCGGCGGCTGGCCATATGCCGAACTGCTACTGGCCACGGCAGCTGCGGCGGCCACCGCCGCATCCGCAACGGGAGTGGCAGCAGCTCCTGGAGGAGCCACAGTTGCTGTGGAAGAGGAGGTGGCGGTGGTGGTGGAGGAGGAGCAGGAGGTTGATGATGATGACGGCGACGATGAGGCGACTGGAATGCCTCCCTTCATTATTGGCGCATACCGCTGCAACGCCTCCGCGGACGTCAGCTTGAAGGTCTCAATCATCTGGCAGCGGACACGCTCCATTAGCACATCGATGTCGTCCTTGGTTAGACCCTCGGTGCTGACCGGCGGCAGTGTGGTAATCACAATGCGACCCGCATTCAGAATCTTTTTCTTGTCATTAAGGAATGTGCAGTAGGAGGAGAAGACCACCGGCAAGATGGGTATCTGCTGATCGATGGCCATGTGAAAGGCGCCCTTCTTGAACGGATGCAGTTCACCCGTGTTGCGACGCGTTCCCTCCGGGAAAACCCATAGTTTGATGCGCTGTTTCTTGATGCGCCGATTCACATCGTTCAGCGTTTCGCGCGCCTTCTCGCCGCGCACACGATCGATGAAGATTAGGCCAGCCAACCATGCCGCCAAGCCAAATGGCCAGGCGTAGAAGAGCTCCCGCTTGGCCACCACTGTGCACTTGTTCATCACATGCCAGATGTGGAACATGCCTGCGAATATAACGAGAAAGTTTCATTTAGATAGATAGCATTCTAAGTTCGCTGATTGATTGATGGATTAATGGCCTTCGAGCAATCAATTGGCTTACCCAGCACATCCAGCGAGCTTTGGTGATTGGCCACAATGATGCAGGCCTGGTCCTTGCCCAAATGCTCCTTGCCACGCAGCTCCCAACGCAGGCCGATCAACGTCGAAACGCGGTGACACCAGGTGCTCGCCCATCTGCCAAGCAAAAATGTTCGAAAATGTCTTAGAAAACTTTGCAATCATTGATTTCTGAAGATAGAGGTTATATTACACGGACCAAGAGAGATCGATCATTGTCAGAAAGCCACAACCATTTCCCACAGCGATGGTCTATACAAGCCAATTGTGAATGCACCATTACTTAATCAGTTGACAGCCATCGAGCCGCAGCTCTGATTTCTATCTTGTCGCCGGGATGACACCCATTCCATCTGGGCGTAGCCAAATCGGCTAGTCATGACATGTAATTACAGCTCGGGAACGTATAAATAATACCCCTGGGAGGGTGCACACTGTTTACTAGCAAGTCTCGTTCGTTTCTCGCCTCCAAAAATGGATCGATAAACTGCACAAGCTAGTTGAACAGAGGCATAATTGATTCAGATGAGTGGTATTTGTGTGTGCGACTAGCTGGACTACCTTGTACTCAGCCACCCCTGATATCAAATATTCATTGTTGTCTAATGCAAATGGCTATTTGAGTCGCTGAGCGAAATCGCCGAGGTGGCGAGAAATGCTACCAAGTGCACTAACCACATATCAATAAGGTAAAAAAAAAAAAAAAGCACAGCGCATTGGGGACACAATACGGTTTTTCCCGGCTTTTTCACTAGCGTGCAACAGCTCCCCTTCTCCGTAGTGCCCCCTTTCCAGATTCACGTCATAGCCAAGTGGTAACTCAAGCACCCAACAGTCCGATTCAATTCCCTCGAAAACTTCGTCCTTGGGTGGACGACACCAAGCACAAATCGCTAAGAAATACAATCACGAACATTACAATGTCAAGACTATACGATACCCATTCGCATTTATTATTTGTTCACTGTGTTATAGAGTAATGCAAAGCAACTAATCAGTTCTTGTGATTCCCAAGTGATTACATTTCTTTCAAAAATCAGTTTATTAAACTAGCAACAATAGAGGAAACAACCATGGGCCACAATTACCCGCGAGGGTGCAATAAAAAACCTTATCGCGACGTTAAGTTGTTGAGGAATTCGTCACGCCTTCAATTTCCGATGCCGGAATTGGCAACGCATACGTCATAAACATTGGTTTATCAAACAATAAATCTATATCTTTGAACTTATTGATAGATGGCACAGTTAACGTGTGATTTAGGTGAACAACAAAAATTGGTATGCTTGGTAGAAATGGAAATTCAGAAGTTTGGAGGATCATATGTTTGATGGTGCAACTTCAGAAATGATCATAACTAAATGAAATTGATCAATCAGCAGATTGGATGCATTATTAAAGAATATCATAATTTAAGAGGACTAGTTCCATGGACTAGTTCTACAAAAAACGATGCGAATGAGAAAGCCTCCATTCGCATTGTTCAAGTGCACAACAATTGGTGGCTTTTCGGACTTAATGGGGCCTTGAGGGACAGTTGGACAGTTGGCCAGTTCGACAGTTGGCCAGGAGTGCATTGCAGACACCTGCAGTCACTCCTTCGCAGTTGGGCCCTTGTTAATATTGATGGCCAATTAAAATTGTATGTGTCATTGACGCATTCGCCTTGGGAGCACCTCAAGGAAACCGAATCGAAAAGGACCCCTGCCTGTGGTCTTCCATGACAAGCCTATTCAATTGGGTTGAAATTAAGTTGGTGATGCCGCAATTACTCTATCTACCTGTCAAGCCAATACAATGCATTATTTATCGCCAATTTGATTGTCTAATGCATTTAAACAGTTCTTGTGTTGGCCTGATGCCAGATGGCGATTAGGAAAATTGTTTTATTAATTCGCATCAAGTTGCATGGGGAATTTATTTAAAATTGTATAAACATTTGACATTATTTGGGTTCGCGAGCAATTTAAGCGGTGACATGGGTGTTGGCGTTAAGTACTCCCTTTAAATATCATTAAATCATTTCATATACATTATTGGGGTGAAAGACATTAAGATTATTTTGGGTCAGGGTTACGCGTAAGCATGATAAAGTGCATCATTTTGCGGGTAATTAACGTGGGAACATCAGCTTAGCTTAAGTTCGCAATAATCATTAAGAAATGAAGTTTGATTTAATAACTTTTACCAATATGTACTGCCCATTATGAAGAGGCCTTAAATAAAATGCCATATGGTTTCATAGTTAGGCACAATGGGAAGTACTTCCGCAAATTATATTCTCTAGTAGCATTTCAACCCACGAGCCTAAAATGCTCAGCGTACATTGTATTAGTGCCGATGGGCAATCAGTCGCTCGAGTGCTTTATTATATAGATGGGCAGCAACCCATTAACGCAAAATCAAAGTGCCGAAGTTAATAAAGAGATATGGGAGTTCTTTTCTAACGAGCAATAAGTGTACTTGGTAATTAAATGTAACTATTAATATTTGAAATATTCATTATACTCTGATGTTGATGGATACTTCGTCTAATAATCTATCAGATTGGTGTAGAATTTTATGGTACATGGCATTATATATTTTGCAATACTTACAACAGATTGCGCACATCGCAGGGTCGGGTGAGGAATGCCGGAATGAGGATGATCGAGTTGAAGGACACGATGCCGTAGTACATCAGGAATTTGAAGTAGTATCGGAATATGTGATTGGTCTCGTAGAGGAATGGCAGCATCAGCAGCAGGAAAAGTCCCAGCAGCTCGAAGAACGAACTCATGTTGATTTTTTGATTATGTTACCGATTCAGCTTAGTGATTCAGCCGATTCAGATCCGGATCGTGCTGGAATCAATCTGCGCACTTCTCCTCCGATTCTCTTCTTACTTTCTCCTGCGTTCTCCACCCGATTTCCTACCCTATATGGGACTTTCTCAATAGTTCCCGTTCTCTGGATTTCCTCTGGTTAAGGCAGATTGCAGTCTTTTAGGTGTGAATTGTGTGTGGGTATCTTAGTTGTTCCTTCGATGTGCTGAAAAAGAGATTACAAATTTTGGATTAGGACAATTCAAATTTATTTGTAGGATTTTTAATCTAAATTACCCCACAAAGATACAATTGCACATTAAATACACAAGTTTATAGATCTTCAGTGATCATTTCTTGTATAGGTACCTATCATTGCTTTTTTAGCATGTTGCTTGTTTTAATGACCTTGCTTTTTCATATTAATTAAATAAAATGAAGTACACGTTTTAAGACTAAAAGCAAAATAAATATCAATCAAATTGGGTTTTTTATAAGTCGAATAGATATTATACCGAATTCTTACAGTTTTACAAGCACCGTTCTTTTGTTATGATGTGGGTTAGTGAAGTGTTAAGTGGCGATAAAGAGGAGGAAAGGGGAAATGGCAATTGCTGGTTGCACGCCATTTCTCCTGTTCCTTCCACTACTTTTATTGCTCTCTCTTTTATGCAAGCATTAATATGACAATTATGCGAGTGCAACAAACCACAACGTCACAAACACACACATGAATACTACAGTCGAGGGTAAAATAACAGCAGGCTGTGCTAGTTAAATACAAAACACAATATACAAAAAAATAAAAAAAAAAATAAAAAATTAATTATATGTGGATATGCTAATATGCATCATACGGTATTGATAAAGAATCCAACAACTGCTACTATCTTGACCGCAGCTGTATGTGCAGCAGCCCAGAAGAAAGAGAAAAAAATCAATTTAAATTTGCGCCCAGCGGCGAAAAACAACAAACAAAACAAAACGAGGGAAAAACGAAGAAATAGGAATTTAGCATTCCATATTGGGTTTTTGTACGGGTTTTATAGATATTATGTGATACTATCAATTGATATGCTATTGAATCTCGATTTGAATGCTGCATATATTCAGCTACGTAAATAAATGGTTCTTTTGTTTGCCATTTCTTTTATTTAGTTCGCTGCAACTATTCCCATTTTCTGCCTTAACACTTGAATGTCACTTCAGTTCGAGAACAGCTATTGATGTTTGGAAAATGTTACAAACGTAGGGTTATAAAACATAATTAAATAGGCACACAAAATGAGCTCTCAAAACTAAGATTCAAATCGGAACTTAAACTGCGATTTTACAAAATAAATTACAACATTTTCTTTTGATTTCATTTATATCCCAAAGCCATAGGGTAATTATAGTTTTTAGTGCGACAAAAACGTTACACATTATTTACTATTTTGCAAACTAGGGCCATCAAGGGTTAATATTCTTATTCCTTTTCGAACACATCTGGCACAAAACAAAATAAGCAAAAAAAAACGGTAAAAGAGGGTTGTGCCAAGAGAGCGGGCAAAAGAAAGGAAGAGAGAGAGAGGAGGGAGCGAGAGCGGCAGACACGCCAAGGATAATAGCAAAAGAAATCAACTCAAAGACACACACAGCACACACAAAGCCACACTCGAATTAAACATAAGTAAATAGAATTTTCGCCAGCTACGTTTTGTTGTGGGCAAACCTTTACAATTAAATTAAACAATTTGAATTTAATACAATTTGCGGCTGCGTGTGGAATTCGCTTGCCACACCAACAACAAATGAGTGCTCACTTTTTTCGTTTCGTCTCGTTTGTTTGTTGTGGATTTTAATAAAAGCGATTACGTTTTTATTTCGATTTATATCGTATGCAGGTATTTCCTTCTTTTTCCTCCTTTATTTTTATTTTTCTGCTGCGGCGACGACACAACGCCGACGTCGACGGCGACGCGAGAACGACGTTGCGCTGCGTTTGGCGAGAATTTCCGTTACCGGCGTTCGCGCGACTTTCGTGGCAACTGAGCAGATGGGCGGCAGCAATCGATAGCGCGCGGGTATCGATGGGCGGGCGCGTATCGATAGTGGGCGGGGTGGGTTCGAGTCTCAGCTCAGGTTCTAAGAATTTTGTTTCGAAAATTAATTGCGATTAAGTATTGAAGTCAAGTGTACTTGTAAAAAGAAAATGATGTGATTGCTTAATATTATAGCTTCCATGCGAACGCTTTGCCAAGTTTAGAAACCAGTTTATATGAATGCAACGAAAAATTTACTTCAAAAAATAACTAAAGAATTTATAAGAACATAGCATAAATTTACTCGAAGCAGATTAAGTATTGATGCATACTCAATATATCATGTACAAAACCATTTAAAAAACGCAGTTTAAACACTCTTAAATTTTAAATATATTTTACGACTTAAAGAAGACCTCAACTGGTCAAGGCATGCAAGTTAATTATAAAGCCACTGCAGATTGCACACAATAGAGTAGTTATAGTAGTGGTTTTTAAATGTAAGTGTAAAACAAATGCTGGCCTCAGTCCTCAGTTTGCTCTTCCTGAGACTCAAGGAATTCGACTTGGCAAACATTCTGACAGCTAAAACGTTATGATTTAGCTGCGATTTTCCGCACTTGGCAACCGATGCAATTGCGAAATGGAGCCCTTTGACCCGCGGACAGGAAAACGTGTGTGTCAGCCAGTCGGCGGGAAATGGATTTTATTTTTATAAAGACGCTCTTGGCAAAAAAACAAAAACAAAAATATTTTTGTTTACATTTGATTTTCTTATCGCCTAGCGGTCCGTGTGGTGAGCAGCTCAATGCTGACGACTAAAAGTCGGACAGGTGGACCCGATGACGGACGCAAAACTACAATATGATAATGTAGAGGCACTTGCGAAATGTTGAAAATATACGACAATATTTTTTATTAATTTCCGTACAAGGAAATTGCCACAAAATGGGGATATGGAGCTCATACATTCGGTCAAACTTTACATTAATACTATATTACGAAATAGATACGAGATTAATGTATATTAAATTATAATTTTGTTTGATGGAAAGCAAGCAAGTTGGTTAAACACACAGGGAATGATGTAAACTCAACTTGAACATGTTCTGTACTAATGATTAACTTCCATTTTCTAAAATTTCAAATCTCAGTGGGACTATCGATATATATTTGAAAAATACCCCACAAAATCGAGACGAATTTGAAACACTCAATTATCGATACTAGCTGAACTCCGATATCGATAGCAAGTCGCACAGATGTTTTGGATACAGCACCGGAGACGCCGTTTACAAAACTTTAAAAGAGAAGGAAACCAAATATTTCGGGGATCGAAAATTGGCGAGCAACACACAGGTAAATGGTTGGAAAATGAAAAGAAAATAGAAAGGAACATGCCTGTGTAAGGTGAGACTTCACTGCCAGTGAGTGTACTTTCACATCGAGCAGCCCGGGATGATTTTCAATCGATTCCAGAAACTTCAGTTTCAGATGTGCCCATAATGTTCATACGTTAAATCGGATCCAATATGAATCGCGGTGGACCAGTTACGCAGGAAAAAGCCATACGTAGAATCGCCCTAAACGACTATATAATACTATCCCGCCAATTGCTGATCAATCGAGCCAGAAGGGATCAGGACAAACGGAGTGCCAAGATGCTGCTGGTCCTGGCCAGTGGTCAGCAGCAAATCATCACCTTCACGCTGCCCAGCTCCTCGTGTACGGTGCAGGATCTGCTGCGACAGATGGGCGTTGAGTTCGATGACAGCACCACAATAGATTGCATGGAGAATGCCGGTGGCAGCATCCATGTGGTGGTCTCCGTGGGCATCGCCATCAGCGCCACCGATCCCGAGACGGTTGCCGAGGCGGAGCAGTTCTATAGGGAGATGCATCAGTCAAAAGCCAAAGCGGCGACTGTCGAAGAGTCTACTCCTGCGGATGGAAAACCATCTGCGCCGGTTGCCAACAATGGTTGCCAGCCGGCTGTAAATCCCACCAAGAGCAAGAAACGCAAGAAAAGTCCATCCGCTCCGGAGGATACCCATAGCACCCAAGTGATATCGTCGGGCGATCCAGACGCCAACGCTCGCAGGAGCAAGAAACGGAAGAGGCATCATTCTGCAAAGGACAACAATAGCTGTCAAGCGGCAGGTGCTCATGACAACAATGATGCGACTGGCAGGAAACTGGCGAATCGCCACTCTACAGGTGAAACCTCAACTGTTCCAAAGAAGAGCAACGGTGTGCAGGCCATTCAACCCGCTGTCGATGCTATCGAAAGCTCCCTGGCCATCCAGACGAAGGATCAAGTAGCAAATGCCTCTGGAAGCAAGAAATCGGAAGAGACAGCTGGCGGTTCTCAGTCACGGGTGCAACCTAATGCTGCAACCAAGTGCGTGCCGGCCACCAATGCACCAAGTAACGCTAAACCCACACCTGAAGAACGTGCAGAGCAAAGTCGCCTGCGCAGGAATCGCAAGTGGATATTAAGCAGGGACTTTGACGATGACGATGTGGTGCTGCTGAGCAGCGATGATGAGGAAACAACCAGCGCCGCCGATGGCCAAACGGAGGAGGCCAAGCCAGATGGCGCACAGCCAGCGGAGAGAAGACTGTCCGCCGACGAGAATCTAACCCTGCTTAAATATCCGCCCACCGGAACCGGTGGCCTAACCATCAACATGAAGGACTACATGTGCCTCAGTAGCGGCACATATCTGAACGATGTCATCATTGATTTTTATCTGTGCTGGCTAAAGAATAACATCATACCAGAGGGTCAGCGCGATAGGACGCACATCTTTAGCATATTTTTCCACAAGAGGTTGAACGCGGTGACGCTTCCCAACAAAGTGCGCCAGACGGCGGCCCAGAAGCGTCACAAAATGGTGCAAAGGTGGACACGAACCGTGAATATATTCGACAAGGACTTCATCATAATACCATTCAACGACCAGGCCCATTGGATACTGGCTATTATATGTTTTCCCAGCCTAAGAGGCCCGGTGCCATACAATGATGTTGAGCCCCTCAGCGATGACATTCCAATCAAACAACCACTGATTCTCATCTTCGACTCGTATCCGGTCTACTCACGGCAGCGGGCGATTGACATACTGCGGGCTTACCTCACATGCGAGTACCAGGCAAAGAATCCGAATGCGCAGGCGCATGTCTTCAACAAGCACAATATGCCCGCTCATAGAGTGGAGGTGCCGCAGCAGGAGAATCTCACTGATTGCGGCCTCTATCTGCTGCAATATGTGGAGCAATTCTTCACGAAACCCATCAGAGACTATAGACTGCCCATTAGGGAGCTGAGAAATTGGTTTGAGCCGCTCACGGTAACCAAGAAGCGCGAGGATATCGCCAATCTCATCCAGAATCTGATGGATGAGGGCAATCAGCAGCACCACAGCAAAATTCTGCCCGTCATCAAGTTTCCCACACTAAATGGCCAACTGGTGATGGAGGAGGATGACGAGGAGACGGATAGCAAGGAGGCGGATGGCAAGGATGACGTTGGGGATGAGGAGGAGGATAGCGCCTCTGTAAGCAAGAAATCGGAAGAAACAACCTAATATGGCATTCAAATCCTCGCCAGCCACCAATGGACCCAGTAACGCTAGACCAAAACCTGACGAACGCGCAAAGCAAAGTCGCCTGCGCAGGAATCGCAGGGACCTCGATGAGTAGGATCAAACAAAGCTGGAAGATTCAAGTGTTGGGCAACCACCGAAAGGAAGGAATACGATTGATACAACACACTAAAAACCACTTGTGAGGTTATTATTAGAAATAGAAATTGCTTATATAGAACCACTGAAGATGGGCTCGACGCGATACACGCACTTGTGAACCACTAGGAGGTACACGTGGCTAGGAGGAGGGGTCACCAAAATCATACAGTTGGTCCCCAAAAGCAGGAAATGTGGCAATATCACCAAAAAGAGCAGTACGGCCAAAAAGACGATAAAGAGGCTATCCAAGAAAGAGAAAGGATCAACGTGATTTCAGGAGATGAAAAAGGGCCACAAGCCAGAAAAACTAAAGTCAGTTAGCAAAAACTTGGTAAGGAAAGGAAAGGATATGATCTTAAAAAAAAGCAGACGAAGCAGACATTTTAGGTGTAGAAGTATTTAGAATAGCAGAAGAAAAAATAAAAATCAGTCAGATGCATCATAATATAGCTTTATAAATTGCCAAAAATGAATCCTACTATACATAAGCTACCCCGCAGCATCAGCCATTTGCAAAGCAAAGTCATTTTCGTGGTGAATTGGGCAACTGCAGGGTATCAAGGGTATTACCAATCAGCATTATACTCGTCGAAAAAAAGAAAGAATTATTCTAAGGTGGTTCTTTTCGCACAGACCAAGGAAAGGAAATTTGTTCATGACAAAGTAGCTTGCTAATAGCATTGAATCGAAGGCTTCTTATAGAGCTCTGCTATAATGCATTTAGTTGTATTCTTTCGTTGAAAAAATACAACACGCGAAGCCGGCGATTGCTCATATTTTAACAATTGTTTATTTTCGGGTACAAGCAATGCTCTGCCTACACAAAGTTTTTTTGCAATAATACTAGCATCCTTTTAAATTGTAAATTAATTATAAAATGTACTCTTTTTGAAATTGTGTGAACGAATCTAATTTTTTTGACATTGTACCTTACAGGAATGATTAGGGATTTCATAAATTGATGTAAAATTTTTTTTTATATTAATGGTGGAATAAGCATAAGCATAATCAAAACCATATTCATACACATATATAGTATATATTAAATATTAAACTAAGTAAAAAAATGAGAAAACGGCACGCATAATCGCGACCTTCTAGTTTTTATAGTTCCTGAGATCTCGATGTTCATACGGACGGACAGACAGACGGACGAACGGACATGGCCCGATCAACTCGGCTAGTGATCCTGATCAAGAATATATGTACTTCATATGATCGGAATCGCTTCCTTTTACCTGTTTTATACTTTTCAACGAATCTAGTATACCCTTTTACCCCACAAGTAACGGGTATAATGAATTATTTACTCAGCCAGGACATTGTTATATTCCTTGGGAACTTTTTCTGCATTCAGAAGCATTCAATAGCAGTTTTCGGGATAATTGATTCTGTAAAGTATCCAGAAACATTCCTGTGTAATGGAATATCCTAACTACTCTGGAATACTTCTATCGCGAAAACATCCAGAAGTCTTTCGGGGAATGCTTACAGAGTCATTGCTGAGGAAGTATGAAACGGAGTTTCAAGCCCGGAAAAATGGAAATGGAACTCCTTCCACTTGGAAATGAGTTACGTACATATGTATCAAAAGAGAATCAAGTTATTTCATTTCCGACTGGGATAAGTCCACACGGACACACGCGCACACACACACATGGATCTGTTTGTATTGGTGGGGGTTTCTGCGATAAGAAAATCGAGCCATAAAGTCGCACCGGCGATTCTATAGACGCTCAGTTGCTTTGGAGCGATTCTTCGATGCAGACGAACGTCGGAGTTTGCGGATTGTAGTAAGAGAGCAAACGGGGAGAGCGAAAAAGACAGAGAGAGCGCGATAGAGGGACAGAGGGACAGAGAGGGAAGGCAGAGCGAATATCGAGCATAAAGCAAAGCCCGCAACACGTGAAACAGCAGCCAATTGGTTTTAATTTCGATCCAGAAAGTCGAGCGACCACAACGTGCGATACGAGATGTCCACCACAACCACATCCAGTAAGTAACCCAGGCCCAGAGTTTCCACCCGAATCCGAAAGCTATGCACACTCCATAAACGCCTGAGCCCAAATAAACACCCGTAGAAAATCAAACTATATAGATAGAACTATTTGATAACTATAACAAACGTAAATATAGGCAAAGCATTATCAAATGTTGCATTTGATCTCAGCAGTCTGGCATCAGCTTAAAGAACTTTCAAACTTAAGACCAATCTTTCAAAAAATACAAAATTTCCTAAAATAACTAAGTAGGCAACGGAATATTTTGATGATCTGATAATCCAGTATAAAGTATTATCATTTTTTATTGCTGTTTACTGAGCTGTCTTTTGTAAACAAGCTTTTCCTTAAAGCAAGCTAAAATATGGATGGTAATGAATAGATTGTAAGCATAGATTGTATAGCATGGATTGCAAATGCAAGTACGAGTTCCCAATTAATGCAACTGCAACTTGAATTCCCACAGTCGAGGGCTATAAGCTCGGAAAGGTCATCATCGAGGGCAAGACGAAGCAGGTGTACGATCTGCCGGAGCAGCCAGGACTGTGCCTGCTCCTCAGCAAGGATCGCATCACCGCAGGAGATGGTGTCAAGGCGCACGACCTGGCCGGCAAGGCAGAGATCTCCAATACCACCAACGGCCAGGTTTTCAGACTGCTCAACGAGGCTGGTGAGTAAATGCCTGGAATATAATGTAGACACTGGGTAACCAATTGAATGCAAGCCAAACTGCAGCCTTTGCTGATCCATACAAGTTAAGGCCACCATTCAATTGCTTGCCAGATTGATCCACACCAATTTGCCAATGCTCCATTATCCATTATCCATTATCCACTATCCCGCAGGCATTCGCACCGCCTATGTGAAGCACTGCGGCGCCAAGGCGTTCATCGCCCGCAAATGCCAGATGATACCCATTGAGTGGGTGACCCGCCGCCTGGCCACCGGATCGTTCCTCAAGCGCAATGTCGGCGTGCCCGAGGGCTACAGGTTGGTATGCTAACAGCCTCTGGCTGGGGTTATCACCCCATTCGATGCGATGCGATCTCGGTTATCTGAGTCCGCCTGCGGTAAACAAATTTCAGTGCAATCGATGCACTGCGGCAGGGTCAACAATCGCTGATAAGCCCTGGATGCGTCTATATGTACATACATATGTACGCCCAAAGGCATCAAAATCTGTAATTCAAGTCGTATCTATGCGTTAAGTCGTTTCGCTTCTTGCCATTTCAAGGCAATAGCACTTTATGGCTTTGAGCGGCAGAACAAGTCCGCCTCCTAGAGGTTTTGCATCAAGTAGTTGTAGATTATGTATTATATAGACAGTTTTCTCAATTTATGCTATTTATGAACCTCCTGCCGTGTTGATCAAATACAAATTACAATTGCATTGCGCAGGTTCTCGCCGCCCAAGCAGGAGACGTTCTTCAAGGACGACGCCAATCACGATCCCCAGTGGAGCGAGGAGCAGATAGTCTCCGCCAAGTTTGAGCTGAATGGCCTGGTGATCGGTGGGTACTTTGCGCAAGCACTTTCCCACACAGTCAAGTAAATAATCCCTCAACTGTCTTTTCCCCGTACCAGGCCAAGATGAGGTGGACATTATGCGTAGGACCACACTGCTGGTCTTTGAGATACTCGAGCGGGCGTGGCAGACCAAGAACTGCGCGCTCATCGACATGAAAGTGGAGTTCGGTGTCTGCGACGATGGCAACATCGTGCTGGCCGACATCATTGATTCCGATTCGTGGCGCCTGTGGCCAGCCGGTGACAAGCGCTTGATGGTGGACAAGCAGGTGTATCGCAATCTGGCATCGGTGACGGCCAGCGACTTGGATACCGTGAAGAGGAACTTCATTTGGGTGGCCGAACAGCTGGCTGATATTGTGCCAAAGAAGGACCATCTGGTTGTGGTCCTAATGGGCAGTGCCTCCGATACATCACACAGCGAGAAGATAGCCACCAGCTGTCGATCTCTCGGCCTGAATGTGGAGCTCCGTGTGAGTTCCGCCCACAAGGGACCGGAGGAAACGCTGCGCATTGTCCGCGAATACGAATCGGTGATGAGCAATCTGATATTCGTCGCCGTCGCTGGGCGATCCAATGGACTGGGTCCAGTCGTTTCCGGCAGCACCAACTATCCGGTGATCAATTGTCCTCCCGTCAAGTCGGACAACATGCAGGTGGACGTCTGGTCCAGCTTGAATCTGCCATCCGGCTTGGGCTGTGCCACCGTCCTCTATCCGGAGGCAGCTGCTCTCCATGCGGCCACCATTTTGGGGCTGGGCAACTTCATGGTCTGGTCCAAGTTGCGTGTCAAGGCGCTCAACAACTTCATCACCCTCAAGAAGGCCGACAAGGAGTTGCGCGGCGTGCGGAATGCTTAGTCCTGTGAACTACTGCTGATCGCCTGGAGCTTCAGCTTTGGGCATCAACAGGAGGCCATAGAGGGAATCCTCCCCTGGTCGTGACGTTAGGCATCCCATGGGGGCCATCTTCAGATCCCATTCCTTGTTGATTCTTCTACTCTCTTTTTTTTTAACCAAACATTTTTGATTTCTTTAGTATTAAGAAAGATGACTTCAACTTGTTCTTGACAGGTTACCTCGAAATAACAAATAATAAAATTACATTTTAAATGTTACGCATTTTGAGCTACGTTATTTGTAATTGCACTCCATGGGGCTCTACAACCAAATGTAATCAAATATAGCATGGATTATGTGCATTTGCTGAATGTTTCTCGATTTTCCGGCTTTAAATAATCGACTTTTTGCGCAAAACTCTACAAATAATTGCCTAAAAATTCCTAAAACTCAAATTCCCAATTAAACTGTATTGAAAAATACAACATTTAATTTATTGTCATTTTTCTTTCAAATTTTAATGCTAAATATTATAAAATGGTGTCATTAAAATTTACAAAAAATTCAAGGACCAAAAAATTAGTTTATCCAAATCTGTCAAAAAGTGATAGGGATCGTTAGCATTGGTAATTAGCTGTACATTACAGTGATTTTTTAGCCTTGCTTTCATTTTTAGCCAACTTAAGACAAAGAATCCGTTCGTAAATATATTTTTTTTACTGTAAGTTTTTGTTGTATACTATTGGGAGCTTTTTTTTTTTTTAAATGTTTATTATTATAAAGCGACGAATCCGTACATGCAGTACTAGTACCATAACATTGCAATTAAACATATAAATAATATAACCAAACTTCTCACTTATCGTGGGAAGACTAACAACAGAGTCTCAAACGTCGAGGGGGTCTTTAAAGCTGTCCAATTGTTTTGGCAAAGCCCTTTCTTTTAAGCCTTCTTAGAGGCCTGGCAGGGAGTAGGCGTCTTGCTAGCATGCTGTGGTGTCTTTTAAGCCTATCACTGTATCTGCTTGTGTGCCTTGAGATCTGTTCTTCCACTGTATGCAGATTAAGGTCCCGATGAAGGGTTGAGCTACGTACATAGTATGGGCAGTTGGTGATGGCACGCATTGCACGATTTTGCAAGACCTCAATGCGTTTATAGTTCGATTTTGCAGCAATACCCCAGATCTGCACTCCATATAGCCAGATCGGGGCTATACAGTGGGCGTATACTGCCCTTTTGGCTCTAAGTGTCATGGTGCTTCTTCTGTTGATCAACCATCGCAGTTGTTGCATTCTCTGACCGCATCTCCGTGCCGCAGCTTTTAAGTGTGGGCCAAAGGTCAACCGTTTGTCAAGGGTGATCCCAAGGTATTTAGCCTGCAGAGGTTGTTCTAGGGTTACGCCATCAAATTGTATGGGTGGTGTGCGCCTAATGAGAGTCTTCAAGGTGAAACAAGGATTGATGGTCTTATGTGGATTTACCTTTAAGTTCCATCTTTTGCACCATGCAGCCAAAGTATTGAGATACTCTTGGAGGCCACGTGCTGCCTCAGTGCAAGAACTGGAGCTGTATAACAGTGCGATATCGTCAGCGTAAGTGGCGAGTAGGGCCTTCCTGGGAGCTTCCATATGGTGCATATTTGGGCAAGGCAAATCCGCGGTAAATATTGAGTAGAGCAGCGGGCCGAGGACGCTGCCCTGCGGAACTCCAGCTCTCATGTAGCAAGGGGTTGAGTAGGTGCTTCTGACCCTGACCATGAACTTCCTATCTTCCAGGTAAGATTTCAGGACTCCATAGTATGGTGCTGGAAGCAGCTTTTTTATTTTGCAGAGTAGGCCGATATGCCAGACTCTGTCAAATGCTTGCTGCATGTCAATAAATACAGCATTGCAGTATTCCAAGTCGTCAAACGCCTGAATAATGTGCTTAACCAGTCTGTGAACCTGCTCCACAGTGCTGTGTCCCTGTCGAAATCCAAACTGGTGATCTGGGAGGATACGGCGCTCCTTAATAAAGTCACCTAGTCTGTTGGCAATCAGCCTTTCCCATATCTTGGATAGCGAAGACAGCAGACTTATGGGCCGATACGATTCCGGATCCTCTTCAGGTTTCCCAGGCTTATGTATCATGAGAATTGCTGCCATTTTCCACTGCTTTGGGAAGGACTGCACCCTAAATATAGCATTAAATATTTTCGCCATGTATAGGATGGCTCGGAGAGGTAGCGCTTTTAACGTGGCATTACAGACATTGTCGATGCCAGGAGTCTTCTTTATTGGCATTGATTTAATGACTTCGGCAATTTCCTCAACCCTGATTGGTTTAATTGGTAGCGACATTTGTAGGGGTATCTCTAGGCTGTCAAGCGTCTCTCGATTCTGCTCCATTGTAGCGAATTGGTAATGGGTGAACCTAGTCTCCAAATGATTTGCAAAGGAATTGGCCTGTTCCTCCTCGTTTTTAGCAAGTTCACCTCCCGGGCATCTAATGGGTACCTGTCTGAACGGTTGTCTTTTGAGGGATTTGGTGGACTTCCAGAGTGAATACCCAGCATCCACCGTATAGTCCATAGAAGCCAGCTTCTGCTCAAAAAAGATACTTCGAAGGTCTCTTACCACATTTCGTAGTTGTTTTGCAGCACGGTTCCATAAGATGCGGTCCCAGGGATCTTGAGATCGGATTGCTCGCCTTCTGAGTCTCCTTTTCTGTGTCAGGAGCTCTCTAGCCTCTCTTGTTAGGGATATTCCATAGGGGGTGCCTGTCCGAGGAACAGAAGGCGTAGATGCAGTCGCAGCCCTGTGAATACTTTGCGTAAGGTGATCAACAGCCATTTCAATTTCTTCACCAGAATTTAGCGTGATGTTCAACGGGATCATGCTCTCCAGTTGTTGACTAAAAGCGAGCGGGTCAGTGTGCTTGTTGACTAATCGTGGACTTGGATTCACATGGGTACTATCTGTCACAATACTGATGATCAAAGGCAAGTGATCGGAGTCCAGATCCCAACTTTGTGTTATACTTGTTAGGGAATCTGGTATACCATGATGCACCGCGAAGTCAATGCAGGAAGGCGTATGACTGGGTACATAAGGATACCTGGTTGGCGAACCAGTTGCAAGTATCTTAGCTCCAGTGATAGAGATGGCTTCCGCTAGCTCACGCCCCCGGGGTGAATTGTAGGTGTCGCCCCAAAGCCAGTGTCGGGCGTTCCAGTCGCCACCAATCATATACCGTTGGCCGCAAGAGCGTATTGTGTCAGTAAATTGTCTTTCGTCGATACTAACACTGGGAGGACAGTAAATGGCGCCGAACTGCACGTCACCCAGTCCTGTAGCTACTTTTACTGTAGACATTTGTATGCTGCGTGTCTCTATGACCCTTTGCGGGAAATGGCGAAGAGTTGTCCTAACGAACACGGCTGCTCCACCAACGCTATTATTATTTTGCGATGGCCTAAATGCTGGATAGAAAGCATAACCATATATCTTAACAGTATCCCCTCTTTTAATTCTAAGTTCCGTCACAAGAAGAATGTCCACGCTATTATTGTGCGCGTAAAGCTCAATATCTTTAGCTTTTCTTGAAATGCCGTTGGCATTCCAAATAAGAATCTTTAGTGGATTCATTGTGGGTGTGGAGCGTTGTTAGAAAGCTGGTAGGTATGTTCATTCCCAGCTCCTTGCTTTAACATGGTGGTTATTTCAAATACCATTCTTTCGAGCTTTTCAAGTCGTTGATTGGTTTGATTTCTGTGATGTTGCTGATCTTGTTGCTGCTGTTGCAACCACATAAGAAACTGATGTTGTTGTTGTTGTTGCATTTGCTGCTGCCATTCTTGGAACTGTTGTTGTTGCTGTTGTAACAATGCTTGGACGTCAAGTGAATTATTTTGCTGAGTGTTCAGTCGTTGTTGCTGCGATAACTGTTGCGTTTGTAAGTTATATAAACGTCGCTGAGCTGGTCCATCCTTGGAGGGAGTTGTATTAGAGTATTCTTTTGCTACTGTGGCATAGGATACTTTTGTATTTACCCCAGGGCCTATAGATGGTTGATGCTGTACCATATTTTGGTGTTGTTGTGTTGGTTGCTGATCTTCAGTTGACTGGTTAGTACTCTTACGGCGATTAATCTGCACGGAAGGAAACTGTTGCTGATCTCTATGGTTGAACCCATGATTCTGCCTATTTAAGTGATTCGCCTTCTTCGCAGGCCCCATAGATCTGCGGAGAAGCTCCTGGTACTTATGGCAACCTTTATAACTAGCCATGTGATCGTGAGAACAGTGATAGCATGTGGGCAGAGCATCTACAGGACGTGTACATTGTGTGGTTTGGTGATTTTCACCACACCTGGCACAATTTGGATGTCTGCGGCAGTATTTAGCTGTATGGCCATACTCCTGGCAACGTCGACATTGTGCAATTTCACTAGACTTTCGCATCCTTTCGATCCGTATTTTCTGTCGGCAAAGGGTCTTCACGTGATAAATTTCATTAATATTAGGGCAGGGCTTAATGTTAATGAAAAAAATATTGAGTTTTTCATCTTTATTAACCCTTGAACTAGGGTTGTGAATGTGAAGTACTTCATAGCCTAAACATTTCAGATCGGCCGTTATATCTTTGTTTTGTGTGCTGTGATGTAAGTCCCTTACTACAATTCTGTGTGCTTTTTCTGTCAGCATTTGGTAAGTGTGAAACTGCATACCAATTTCATCCATATAGCTAACAATTTTTCTGTAAGTGTCACTGTCTTTGGGAAATATTCTGACTGTTTCCCCTTGGTTAGCTTTGACTACGACGTTATCTAGACTTGCCTTTTCTTGTATGAGCTCAAATAGGTCATTTAAGTTGCTAATATTAACAACAATTTGGGGTGGTTTTTTAAAATCTTTGAGTTGATTGTTGGCGTTAGATGTTTCCTGGGATTTATTGGCAGTATTGTTTTCTGCAGATTGAAATTCGTCCATGCGGGCACTAGCATCATCGGCATCCTCAGACATCATGTCTTCCCCGTTTTCTTCATTAGTAATGATGTCCGTGTCGAGAATAGCAAACCTGTTACTAGAGCTTGCCTTCTGGTTAATTGTGGGGACCAAGTGCGGGCCCTGGGTACTGCTCACTCTTTTCGGTTTAAGGATGGGGGACAGTGGCTTTGCATTTTTTCTCTTGCCTGCTTTCCGATTTTGATCATCCAGTAATCTTCTGGCAGCACCGCTTAGATTTTTTGCTGCAATGTCGGGGCTGGTCAATTGGGAACATTCTTGGTTTGCTACAC